CGAAAATTTTAAGAAGCCCCATATAATATATAAATTAATAAGCCATCAAAATATTTTTTTAAACTACATGGTCCAGTACATTTTTTATAGATCTATGAAGCTTTAACAAAATATAATTTATTCTCGCTCTTTTCTCGTGAAAGTTTACATAGCCACCAATCTCGTCCCTTACTTTTCTTAACATGGTTAGAACTTTCGATATAGTTTTCTCATAACTCAACAAAAATCGTTGTATACCATTGTTGCTTTAAGAGCTTCCGTTCGTTAAACGGGCTCTATAGTGCATTGAAGGAATGGTACAATGAATAATATACACAATTTTTTTTAAAATAAATGTATTTATTGAAAATAATAATAAAAGTAATTTCATAAATTAATAAGTTATTAATTAATGTATAAATTAATAATTATTAATTTATCGATAAGTTAATATTTCGCTAAATTAATGAAATTTTGATAGTCCCAACTGTATTAATTTATAGAGGTTTAACTGTACGTGGATATTACAAGTGAACACATCAATATTAATACAGGTTTGTCGCATTTAGGGCCCAATTGATTCTGAGGCAGCCTAACACTCAAAGCCCAAGTGATCGGTCAAACTCTGAGAATTCTCTTCATCCTCCAATTTTGACCGTTGGTTCTCTCAACTTTAATCTTCACCACCCATTTGAGTTATTTGATCTCCGCCTCTCTTCCAAACCTTACTTTCTAATATTTTCTCCTCTCTTCTGGTCGTTACACCGCATTTAGTGCATTTTGCATTTCCCGACTACATGCCTGTTTTTGTTCTCTACTTTTGAGACAATTTTTATTTGCAATGGGGTGTTCGTAGCATCTCAATAAAGTATTTGCAATTCCGATATTTGATAGAATTTCTTCTAATTAAAAAAATAAAAAGTGAAAGAAAGGTTACAGTTACAATTTTTGTAGTTCACCCTAAATTTCTGTTATTATTACAGCACACCAAATAGTGGCAACTATATAATAGAGAAATCTACAACTAAATTATTCCTATGTTCCAACTGCTTTATTACACACGTAAATATACATACACATGATACATGCATATATACACACAAACAAATAAATAAATAAGTTACCTGGTGTCTGTCTATACATACAACTTGAGTTTACTAGACCAATTTCATCACATTCAAAGTGAGTCAAATCAGTCAATGGGGGTGGTTGTAACATCATTGCCTTCTAGAAGATTCCGTCTCACGTCCAGAGGAATCCGTATCCAAACGTGCAACTTTCCAAGAACTCGAATTGGCCGACTTTAGTAGCAAACCAAGCGCCAACGAACCAGTTGCTCTCACTATTGCATCAGTTGATCGGCTTATCTTTCCCATCAACATTCCGAATACCTAAATCAAGATGACGCCAATAAATATATAATCTTAAAATTTTGAAGATTTTAAATTTATTTAAATAAAGAGTAAACGAGAACCTGGCTGTGGTAAAGGGCAGAGATGTGTTGATCACTTGAGGAAGCAATTACACTGCTGCACAAATAAATGGCGTTTGCTTGAATTACTGGCCAAGGAGCCTCAAAAGCCTGCAATTGTCGACATACTAAAAATCATGCAAAGTTTTAAAAATAATTTTTTTTTAAATATCGTTATTCGGAAATGCTGACCTGTATTATGGATCCCATGTACGTATCAACCCTAGAAGACATGTGCTGAGTAAATTGCCTTGCAATATCTCTGAGGAAGTCTTCATAGTCGGCTCTGAAAACAGAAAATTAATTAAGGGAGAAAAAGAGAGTGATAATTTAATCAGTAAACTAAAACATACCTATGATCAGAACTCAATCGATGTGTATTAGCAAGAGCAGTAATACCATTGAATTCCATCAAAGGAGAAATAGATTTGAACGTGTTCTGAGAGGAAAATGATCAAGTGAATTAATAATAATTAGAGGTCCTTTTCTGGTAAAAGTATGTATTAAGAATTAATTTATCTACCCGACAAGCCCGTCGTACACCAAGATCGTCATCATGAAGATGTAACACCAAGCGTGGAAAGGCAGCATGAACCTAATAAATTATAAAATTCAAGTTGAATCGAATTTGAATCTCTTGTAGATCATCATAATATTGCTCAAGAGCAAATGACTAGGTTACGATTCAAATATCAGATCAGAGTAACTAATGAATAGACCTGCTCGAGAAATGTGTCACGTTGTGGACCGAACCCATACTTGCTTAGTGCTCCAAATGCTGCAAACGCATTCGCCCGGATTTTTGCATTCATGCATATCTGTTACAAGCAAAAAAAATGAAAAAACATAGCTGGGTAATATTTTTTTGCATAATTGAACTCCCTTAAATATTGAAGACCCGTTTGTTGGGTAAGCTTGCTACCAAATGCTATTGGGAAGTTAATCAGCTGCCAGCCAACACTAAGTTTAATTGAAGAGGCAATTCATTTATTCTCATGGACAACAAACTTTCTGGACGGCAGCCAATAACTTCACACTAAATCTACTACTTGGACAATAATGATGTGAAATTGGTAGTACTTGAAAACTTACTTGAAGATTACGAAGCCGAACTGAAAGGTTAAGCAAAACGGGTTCCACGGCATCAGTGGAAGATGTTGCAAGAACCTATAAATGTAAATATTAGCACAATATATAGATAATGATGTAAATCAGCGAGAGATTTTCTTTTCTTTTCCTTGGTTTTTTTTTGGGTGGGGGTGGGGGGGAGGTGTTAAATAGAGCAAAGAATGTCGTAATAAATCACCGTCAGCAAACATGAGACAGCAGTAAGCTGAACTGATTCATCCGGATCGTCAAGCAAAGCAACTATAACACTGAGAATTTGAGTAGTGTACTGGACAACATGGACAGAAGGCATCTGCAAAACAGGTCCAAGCAAACCAGTTAATTATTAGGTGGCCACACATTTGGGATAATAGAAACATCATCCGAAATAAAACATGCACCGCGTATTTAGAAATTAATTCAAGTGATCATTATGATAATAAACTACCTGCACAAGTCCTCTTAAACAAAGACGCCTAACATTTGGAGAATCATCGGAAACATGTCGAGTCAGTCCCTCAACCATCTGCTCCAACAACGAACCTAAACTGTCACTGCAGAATGATAATAAACCTTGTCGTGAAATTGAAAGCAAGAGCAAAAGTTAATCTAACTTGAGCTTTGAACAAGAAACATCAACACTATGTAACAAAGCACCTGACATTTGTTAGTCCAATTTACTACAAATTTGAGCTAGACTGTTACTTTTCCATCCTTCAAAATGTTAAAGCAGCAAAAAAAAAATCTCAAGTATAAGCAAGATTGAACTATTTGTTCTAGAAGCATAATATTCATCCTCCAGATTGGATAAGACTTTCCAGAACTGCCCCTCTTCATATTACTGATGCTGGTAGCGCAGATACAGATAATATTATAACTTTCACTTAAGGAGAAAAGGACGCATGCTATATACTCAGTTTCTCAATATCCTAGCATGTAATTGTTCTTAATAACCAAAAAATTGATATGGGTTGTGCCCTGTACCCACTTAGAGACAAATTTTAATATGTAAAAAAAAGGAACGAGAACTTTATCATGTAACATGAGAAGTTAATTAAATGTTTTACTTACTACAGTGAGGTCAAGACACGTTCTCTCTATCTCCTTTGACTTTCTTTACTTTTTCTTAATTATTTCAAAAAATGTCCTATATCAAAAAGAAATGGGAAAGCCAAGACCTATTCAGACAGCCAAACTTACAGTCAGATATCACAGACACCAATAAATGTCAGAATGTCTCACAGAGAGAGAAAGAACAGGAATCCCAAATATACCTAAACCGCACGAACTCTGACAGTGCAGCAGCTGCAGCTTCCCTCATATATTTTGGGGATCGATCCAGTGATTTACAGAGAATTGAACAAATTGTAGGGATCTGAGTAGTGTAAATAGATAAGTGAGAAGCAATAAAATCACAGGAGAAAAAAAAGAAGTAGCAGTTAGAATACATATATAGATAGTACTTGTATTCTAAGAGAGAAGAAACATGAGCATTCAGGATTTTTTTTTTCCTTTAAACTGCAATCTCTTCATATGTTCTTTCCAGGAAAAAAATCATTTCAGTAAGATATGAACAGGTTCTGTAATTGCATGTCTGTCATAGTTCTTGGGCTGATTTAACTAACAATTACTCATAAAGCGAGCATATCCAAGGAAATAGTGTATCTTAAAGTGGAAATGCAGTAGAGAGATATTCAAGTTTAACATTAAGTACAAATATACACCGTTTTATCTTTACAAAATCACGAGATTTGTCTTCAAGTTAAACATGTCTTCTATTGGTGGGACAGACATGTCTTCAGTATAACTGATAACATGAATATAGCTCAAATGAACAATTGAATTTAAAGAGTTTTATGAGAATAACTACCTCTTTTGGCCTTTTTATAGAAATGCACCCAGCGAGGTCCCCGATCAGACCAATCCATGCATCCTCTTCATTTTGTTCACTGTCTCTAGCCACAATCTGCACATAATTGATTTATTTAGCCCCCAAACTCAGATTACAAGTATTTATCATTGTGAAAATTCCACTTATGAGAGGCTCAAGTACCTTTCCCATCTCCAGATCACCAACACATTCACAGAATGCATTGAATGCGACAAGTAGAGCTCTGAAAATCAAATGTAGAATGTCAAAATAATAATAGAACTGAATCAGTTACTTCCAGTTCAGTAGGCATTTATGGAAGAAAATATGCTATTGTTACCGAAGCGGTTCGTGCTGGCCAGAATTAGCTAAACAATGACAAGTTCCCAAGTGAAGCACAAGAGTTGCAAAGACAGACCCATAGCTTTGCTCCACAGCCCTTTTCCCGATTTTCCCACCCCCTCTGCAAATAACATACTTTTGGTCATTGTAGAATGTAGAAGCAGATGAGTAAGCAAAACAATGCAACTTAAAGTACACCTGAAGAAGGCAGTAAGAGCTGTGATAGCAGCATGCAACACGTTATCTTCTTCAAGACTTTCACCAAAAATGTTGGGATTCTCTCCCTTTCCAGGACCACCTTGAAATACAGGTGTCTGATTCAGAATAGAAGTTACATGGTCCAGGAATGAACAGGAAAGAACTGCATGCTGGGAAAATGCCTAATAATTCCACGAAAGCAAACAATATCAGGTATCGTAACTTTATAAAGGGATATAGCAACCAAACAAATCAATTTGGAAAGCAATTAAATAGAATGTTGACCAGTCAATGCACCATGCAATAGGAACATAAGAGCATTAACAGGCAGCCGTTATGGGCCTATGCCAAGAGAAGAGACTCACATGAAATGCATCCTGTATTGGCCAGCCACCACGTAATCTTGATACGTCTTTTGTCGCTATATCTCTCTCAGCAGCAGCCAACACTTCACCAAAAACAATTCTTGAGCTGGTATTCTCAGCAAGAGAAGAGATCTTTCAACAGTTAAAGAAGCTACTCACAAGTCAAGATACATTGCATATTATGTTTTCCAGCTTTCAAGAGGCTGTAGGAAAACCACTAAGGATAATGAAATAGACAAAGATAAATGATCTATAAGAAGGATACAGCATGGAGTGTTTCTTGACGTAGGTACTTCTCAGTCACATGAATCACAGCAGAAAGCAACGATTGTGTCGTCCTGATGCAATATTCACAAAGATCTCAGATGATAAAATGCAAAGCTATCACAGCTTGAATTAACGATTGAATCACAATTGTCTCACTCCACCTTGAGATATCAGCCTCATTCAGCTCCTTCCCCCTCTTCGTAATGAACTCAATCACAGATTGAATTGCACCTTCAGCAGACTGCCTGATCTTGTCACATATAGCTGCTGAGCAAACATGCAGAGCAGCAACAAGCTGCACAAAGTGAATTGAGAATGGATGAGGTTGGACAGCTTGTCAAAAGCATTTGACTATCTCAAAAGTTCAAAAGATACAGAGACAAAATATTTGAATTCTTACCTCATCCTTTGTGAATAATACACAAACAGAGGAAACAACCCTGTTGAATACCTCAGATGGATCAAGTGATGCATCCTATATGCAAAATTACAAACAGGATAAGTTACTCTCAAAGTGGAGCAGAAGTTTAGTGAAAAGAAGCATGATAAATTAAACAAGATCAAAAGAGAATTTTGATTTAACTTACACTCCTCAGGATAGCAATAACATCCTCCAGTGCTGATAAAGCGGTGTAACATAATTCAATATCAAGGCCAAAACTAGAGTTTGAAGACCTCGGTAATGAAAGAGATACACTGAAAAATAAATCAACAATCTGCAAAGAGAGCAAATAGTCAAGACTAAAGCACCGTGATAAGATAATAATAATTAATCTCTATGGCTGGCACCGCGATAAAATAATAATAATTGACCAAGAAATAGGAAAAAAATCAACTTCACCCATCTTAATTCATCTAGATTCGGCGTAGATTTGGGCAAGAAATAAAAAAGAACCACAACCTTGCTTGTGTTAATTCAGATCGATTTCATATAGGTCAGTCATGAACTAAGCAGAAAAGGATAACACCATCACCAATTACAGACCTGAGCAGAGGTTTTTCTGACTTCAGAATTTGTATCTGCGCAGCGTGGAAGATACACCATGATTCTCTCCCCTATACACAAAGCATCACGGCTTGGGGATACAAATGCAGCTGAAAATAACCAAGAGAGAATGAGGCTTGATATATGAAATGAGAATGAAAAGTAAACAGAGAGAGAGAGAGAGAGAGAGAGAGAGAGAGAGAGAGAGAGAGAGAGAGAGAGAGAGAGAGAGAGAGAGAGAGAGAGAGAGAGAGAGAGAGAGAGAGAGAGAGAGAGAGAGAGAGAGAGAGAGAGAGAGAGAGATAGAGAGAGAGAGAGAGACTAACATGGCAAATTGGAAAAATTATAATTTGAAGCACGGTCGAATCTCCTGCTGTGGGTGCAACTTCCTTGACAGCCAAGCGAACAGTATCCACCAACACATACAGTCCGAAACTTATGAAGCATCTCATAAGCTGCAAGACAACCTCTCTGTCTCTGATATTCGACAGAGGAGGAAACATATGGATCAATCTGTCTCAAGATGTGCAGTAGCTGTTCTGTCCGACTTCTCCCATCCTCCCCACTGAATAAAACAACTTGTCAAAGCAGCTAGAGAATATGTCCTAAGACATCATTGCATATCCACAATCTTAGTAGCTACAAAATGCCCAAAGTTTCTTATGCATTCAATGGGTTATATTTACCGTGTCATTGGTTTCTAATTGTTGGGTGGAGAACAGTATAAAGCCGCCCCAAACATGCATAAAAGTCCTTAACAATCTTAAATGATGCTTGCAAGTACCAAACAAAGTAAAATTTAAGTAGTTCCGGACTGAATAATTACCTTGTAACGAGGATTGCACAAAGAAGAGTAATAAGATTGTGTATCAGACCATCCATAACATCAGGAGGATCGTTTGGCAAACCAAAGAATCCTAAAGTAGCCTGACAAAATAATCAGAGGGGTAAATATTCTTGTAACTAACAAATGACTCTATTAAGTTGCATCTCTCACCTTCAGCACAAGGTTCCTCGTTTCAGTAGTTAATTTTGGCTCCACAGAGACCAACGTAGTACAAGCACTTAATGCAAGGGACTGCATAGAAAGATCTAGATCAGGCAAACATACGGAAAAGCTAGGAAAATAATGTACTTACTCTAATGAAACAACGGCCTACAAATCATCAGCTATGTTATGCATAGGAACATGCACAGAAGTTAAATATAGCTTAGTTTTGAACCTAATATTATTTTATTCAGGTTAAAAATATACAGAGAATATAATGCACTTTAAAAATATTGGGCAGGATTAAGAATGTTTCCATCCATGTGAACTTAGAAACACAATTCAACAAAAATACATTATAATATGTCAAGGGACAGTTTCATTCCTTAATATTCAACTTGAGGGAAGAGCATTAATAGGGGGAGTTTCCATCAAGTTACAGGAGCAACACTATTATGTTTCCTATTACTGAGCAAACTTTCATAAAGGATAGTTCACTGAAATGAATAAATATATAGCAACGAACACAATTACCAAATTTTTCAGTCAGGCCTTCCTACTGTTGTGGAATAATTAATCTTTAGTTGGATGTGAAGGAATCTACTTTGGTTAAATGGTACCAATTACCTGGTCACAAGTAATGGCACATTTGGAGAAACTTCAAAGTATAATAGATCGAAAATTGGGGATCATTCATGAATCGATATAGTTTCTTGGCCCTATGCCACACTGTTCATGTATATGAAATGTCAAAACAAATAGCAACTCCCAAATAACAAACCTGAGTGTGCAGGAGCTCCAGATTAGAATCAGAGAGTCCATCTTCATCATCACGGCCCATTAAAGTCAATATGTAATCAAGCAACATATCTCTCCTTTTCAACGGAAATGATATGCCACTTTCAGCAGCACCAATGACAGCCTGACCTGCATTGGCAAAATCAGTTTAATTCCCATAGAGATAGAGAAAAGAGCAATTACCTCATGAATTGTAATTTTAGATCAGGCTCTATGGATAGAAGATGCATTGTCGACTTGTATATTATGAATTGTGACCACATAAAATAATTTAAAACAAGGACAATAGAACATGAATCGTGATTAAGGAACAAATTCTGTAGTTTCTGCTGAATATTCATGGATCGGTTAATCTTTTAGGTATTCTCGTTATATTATACGCCTCATTCTTCGCGGAACCAAAGTCACCCGTTGTAGAAAGGCAATGGCATCATACTTCTATTGTTTTTCTTTCCAGCTAAGTTCTCAATCATGTGAAATAACAAAGTTCGGGCCAAATATAACTAGCAATTTGAAAGTGTGCACAGTTTTTGGATATGTAGTCAGCCAAATGGTTCCTTGTACATTAACATGATGGTAGCAATCAACCAGCTACGTAAGAACACTTGAGAAAGAGATGTCATCCTGATGCACAAATAACAACATAGCAACAGAGGTGGCGCATTCCGGACAATATTTTGGTGAATTTACAAACCTAGTAAATCAATAGCCGTAATAACTGCCTGCTTCGCTGTAGGATGCCGTACATTAAGAAGCCGCGAAAGCATATTAGTTCCCTGTCAAACATTGCACAAAAGGTATCATAAAAAAACCTTATGTAAACACGTTAGAACAGATGCCAGAAAGCCGAAAGCAGAAGAAAACCGTGGTAATAATAATACCCAACTCAACAAGTAACAATGATAGCAACATGTCAACTTGGCAAGAAGATGCTAAATGAACAATTATCACAGTTCTCGTGGAGCAGTACAGTGCATAATTCATGCATTAACTGCATCACTGAGACCTCAAACAACATGTATACTAGGAACAGCTAAAAAGTACCATTCCACAAGTTTCAGAAACGTCCGACCACTTGAAAATTATCAATTCAAATACAGCTGTAGTATTTAGAAACCCCAAACCAAAAACAACATATTTTGATCAGCCTTAGATTAAATAGTATTATTACAATGACCCAACATAAAAATCTGACACCACCGCAGGAGACATTTGCAACATATTGGAACCTAATAATATTTAAGGATCACGCCAGTGTAAATATTTTAGTTGCATACTCCTATGCAATAAAATAGGATGGCAATACAGTCATGTCTAAAGATAGATAAATGTCTTCACATTTCACAAGCATAGAGCAGATACTGAATTGAAAAAAATGATGTTCCACTCATTGCAAATTTAGGCTACAAGGGAGAACCAAATACATATATACAGACACTCAGAGCAGGCAGGCATAGCAGATCAATAAAACAAAAGAACACCGATTCTGCTGTACCACAAGTGCATCTATTCTGGCTTCAATAACTGTTGATGGAGCGTATTTTGCAGCATACCCATACATAAGAGCCAAAGCAGCATGAACATCATCTGATTCTTCCATTTTAGCACTATCAGAAAAGAATGACATAATCCTGCAATGAAGTTTGCATCATTCAGACTTCAAGCTTAGATACAAAGAAAGCACCAGCACTTTAAGACATTTTAAGTTAAATAGGGAGAGATATCGAACTCAAATACAAGCTAAAGTTTATTTTCAGACCTACTAGCAAACAACATGTGGTACCTCCGGATTAAGAGTACATCAATCTTGACATATTACAAGCCAGAATGAACTCCTTGTGCCCGCAGTATTTATAATCACATGATTAAGATATGCGGAAATTCTAATTCCATAAAATTTTACCAATACATAATAGACCGTAGGAGATAAAACTAACTCATACGTCCCCAGCATATACCTTTTGAAGATACTATCACCCACAGTATCAAGAATATCTTTAAGCTTGTCCAGAACTGTGTCCAAGTGGGATGCAGCAACCTGGGAAATGCAGCAGCAACCCATAGCCTCATTTACTCGACAAGATTGGCTTAACAAAACTCGTACACCCAATACTTGCGAAGAGATAAGCGTGAATAAGTAGTATTTTAAGCAGAGAAAGATTACCAATCCCATGGCCTTTGCCAGACCAAGCCTATTAACTGGCAAAGCAATGTTAGCTTGCATGTACATCAAATCAATCTTAGCATGTACGTAGGTTCTATCATGTACTTTCTGCAGCAAAATGCCAAGACACCTGCAGTAGGAAAGATCGAATAATTTCAGTTCCTGGTCACAAAAAACAATCACTGACGAAAAAAAAAGCTGATGTCCCCTTTCTAGACGGTCAGTCCCGGGAAATGCAGAAATCATGAAGAAGCAAAAAAAAGATGTGGTGGCTCTTAGTGACACCATAAAAGAGTGTTGCATAACAATGCATCATACCTGTGAAGCAGTGCAGAGTGCTCATCTTCGGATGAATAAAGTTCATATTGTTTAGCAAAAGAGTTTCCTAGAGAAATAACCCAATCAACATCCTGAATCACATCCAATGATTCTGCAACAAACTGTTGGCCACAAATAAAGAGTATATAAGTGGCCTGCACAGAGAATAGCCTTCCCTTTCCGTTCCCAGTCAATAGTAGAGATATAAGCATAGTACAACTCAAGTAATTTTATCACTGTTAACAAAAGACTTGTTGAGCGCTTGAGCAATGAGAGAAAGGAACATGATTTTAGAAGATTAAAGAGTCTCACTGTGTTAATTCACAACAGTTTTCTCAAGTAGACAATGTGGCCTGGTCCGTATTAAAGATAATTAACAAGAATAGTAGAGCTTACATTAATAACCATGTCATCCCATGTCTCCTGATATGATGGATCTTGCTTTAGGTCTTCCGGATCACTTACATAAGCTTTCATTTTGGGAATCTAGAGCTTACAGAAGAAGACAAACAATTAGAACAGAACTGTCATTTTGTGTCTATCTTGTACGGTGAGTGCAGAACCTGACTCATAGTTTAATATTTATAAGAACACTTTAAGGTAACAACATTAACAAAAATAAAGAACATGCCATTACGCCAAAATACTCAAAACATTATAAAGATGTGTCTAAAATGCTGAATCAGATATGATTTAATTACCACAAGACAACAAAGTTAAGGATTATCCAACAACAACAAGGCACCAGCCACCATGAACTCCAACGAAATAAGAAACACCAATACTCTCTAAACAATAAGGCCATCTTGATTTTGCTTCAAGATCGTATCTGATGCTACTCAACCTTGATGATAGTTAATCCCACTACATGCACGCCCCAAACTCTACCCATTATTTTGACCCCACAATTCATTAATATCAATCCAAGCGCAAATGCAACTAACTGACACATGGAAAATATATTTATATAGTAAATAATAACCACAAAGCATGATCGTAAAGCCTTCCCACATAAATAATCAACTCTTAATACTAAAAATCAACTCTATCATCAACCTTGTATACCTCATCTTGCCAAAATACGACGATATTCTTGGGAAATAGAGAAGCTAAGTGCAGCAGAACCTGCAAAAACAACATATAAGAAGTCAAAACAGTTTTGCTGTCAGTAAGTTTATATTGCCTTGATTCCATTCTAATAGTTACTCTGCTAAAAAGACACTCACAGTTTAAATTATAACTTTTCTTGGGTAGCTGATCTTGATAAATTACCACATATAGTATAAATGAGGTTTTTCTTGCTAAACACTAGCCACCTTTCAAACCCTGACTTCATTATAAATGCTTAACAAAACAACTTAAACTGAATATAGTCTGCAGGCTCTGCTCGATAAGAATATATAAGATGTTTTTTTTCTGAATTACAACACAAATCAAGTCATAACAGAAGTAGGAAATGCACCATTGTGTGCATCGGAAGTCAAACTATGGAGACATATGATATTCATCACAATACTTGTTGGTTGAAAATTAAGGATACAGATCAAAAGGCTAATTCCCACATCATTCAATCTAATTAAATCCAAGTCTTGTAATAATTAGAAGTCCTATAAAGCTACATGATTCAGTTGCCAATGAATTTAATATCTAAATTTTGCTGCTAGCAGTAAAGACACTTACAGTTAAAATCTGAGGCACGAGCTGCTCCCTCGCCAAAGGATTGTGGAGAAGCACCACAAGCCGTGCAAAAAGATCCTGAATTTCAATTATGGGAAAGCCGTTTGGTAATACATTTCTATCAGAGATCAAATACACAAGGACATAAAAAAGAAGATATCAAACCTCAGGATTAGGAACATCAAAACGGGCTTTACAATCAGAAAGAATTGTATCACTTTGAGTATGTTTATGTCTGCATAATTCTGAGATACACCTGCAAACCTATATAAGTAGTTAGATCACTAAGAAAAGAAAAAAATCAGTTTTACCAACTCCAGATATTCATGGCAGAATGGAACTCATATTCCAGCAGACAGAAAATACGTTAAGAAGATAATAGAGACGTACGGGTAAAGTAGCATGTCATGTTACACATACACACAGTATATCACCTACCGTGGCAACTGCATCAGTGTAAATTCGCGGTATGATCATTTTCAACAAAAATGGCCAGAGCACATGCTGGAAATATTGAGAAAATATTATTACAATAAAACCAACAGACTGTAACCAGCAAAAGAGAAACACGAGAACACACGCAAAGGGGTTAAGACAAAAGGCATTGACATACCTCCATTTCAGGAATGGTGACAGTTATTAAAAGAAGACCTTTTTCACAGATTTCACGTAAATCTGTTGGACAAACACCTCCAATGTTTACCTGCGAATGATATGAGAGTTTAAAAGAATAATATGCAAAAAGAACATGCTTAATTGAAAGAACATAAAATGGTTACATGAAAAAATCCTGGAACTTACAAGGAAGAACTTTATCCTTCCATGCCCCTAACTTTAATGGATAATATATGTTGTGAACAGGACATTCATATTTTATTTCTATCACAAAGATGAGAATTTCATTAACCGATGATGTGTTCGTCATTATAAAGATAAAATCTCTGAAAAATATTGAACACCTACCAAAAGATCATCAAAAAATAAACAGCTCAGAAAACTTATATTTGGACAACTGCCACTAGTACCATTATCGGTTCGGGTTGAGAGTATTCTTGATTCCATTTGTGTTGTTAAAGTGGTTCTATATAATTCATTTAAAACCAAACATAAGACCCATAGTTCAGAAGAAATCACAAATTTGAACACTGATAAAGTACAAGTCATGTGGTGGTTAATATATGGTGAATTTATGATAGAATGGGCTAAAAATACAAGTCACTGTATGCATGCCATTTCTATCTACGCTAGTTAGAATATAGCCGCTCACACACACGCAATATAATATTACTATGCGCTAGGCTTTGACAATATAAATACAGCATGATAGATATTATTATTAGATTCTATGCAGCAGTATACCGCATTCACAGCATATAGTCCAACAAATGCAACACATTCTAAAGAAAAAGGTCAAACCTCTGATTTCTTGTGCTGGAAAGGATAGAAATAGCCACTCGACCTCAATTCCTTTGAACTCCTTAAGTCCTTATCCAAATCTATCACTGCACAGTGACGTACCAAGTACTCTACAAATAACTCTCCTGGTGGGCCAACCAAGTAACAGTGGGACGCCATAACAACGATTAACTAGAATCAGACACAATCATTAAAACATAAATATTAACAAACACCTGATAATTTGTATAAAACAATGAGTATTTTGCCAATGACACAGTACCTCAGAAAGTGCCTTGCAGACAGCCAAATTATTCTCATCTAATAAATTTTTCACTGATTCAACTAGCAGAGGCCTTTTAGCATGCCAAGCTTCAGACAACCTTCAGAAAAACTTAATAAGAACATATATTGGTGAAATACTCAACATTTAGAGGAGGGGAAAGACCAACCTAGGTAAAAGATGTTTTAACACAGAAAGTGCACCAAATGTTAGAGGTTCTTCTTTCAACCTGCATTTCTGGAACATATTCACGTATCAGATAGATAAGGCAGTAAAACCCCAAAAGTTTTTTCAATATATATTGTATTTTCCTTTTTCATTTTTCTCAGGTTTTTGTTGGTGAACTTTATATTTTTACAGGTAAAACATTTGGTAGAATTTTCATTAGAAATAAGTTTTTGGCAAGTTTACCCACATGGAGAAGGAAAACGAACATATCTTCTGGGTACACCTGGCCAACTGTGAGAAAGCAATGTTGAACTTCGTTGTAGGTCTGCAATTGAGAAAACAAGAAAAAATTTGATTATAATCACATGCCAAATATGACTTCAGAAAGCATGGACAGCACAAAAAAGTGCTACCTTTAGTCCCACTGAAAAATCTGAATGTTGCTTGCTGTCATTATGAATGCAAACCACGGGAAGAAGCGTTGATAATATGACAGTGAGGTCCTGCAAATTAATGACTAATATAACGAATGACATCTTGGAGGATAGAGGACAAAATTGAACAACAATCACAACATTGAATCCTACTGATAATCAAACCTACACCTCTACGTGTTTTGCATGCATGAACATTCAACTCATACATTGCAATTGCCTATGCAGAAACTCCATCATGTAATAACAGAATTTTCCTTTTAAGAACATGACAATGAAGTTGAGTTAATCGAAAAGTAAAATCTGTAAATTCCATTTTTATTTCACTCAAATCAAAATTTTAAGGAGTTTTATATGATGCTTTAAAGATGCGTGAATTGCATTTCTACCATTAGTCAAGTGAATTATTTCATTCGAACCCCGCTCCCCTCGGCCCTCCCAAACATTTGCTAATTCGCATCATTTCATATTTGTGCAAGCATGAGTCCAGAGAAAAACCTGAAATCCATTTGCTTCATATATATATATATATATATATATATATATATATATATAATATAACCACAACTCAACACTCGTAGAAAGCCCGAAGAGGAAAGAAAATAATCACAATCTTCTAAGATGTAATATTTGACATCTAGAATATAAACAAAAGCACGCTTCAACACCAAGGGTCCATTTGGATAGAGGGATTTGGAGGAGGGATTTCAAATCCATAATAACAAATCCCTCGGACTTGTTTGGATTGAGGGATTTGGGGATGAATTTCAAATCCACACACCTCCTTTTTAGTTGCTTTTGGAGCAATTGGGGTGGATTTAAAATGACTCCAAATTGGAGTCATTTCAAATCCCTTCCCCAAATCAAACCCCCCTCCAAATCCCTCAATCCAAACGCACTCCAATAGATTCGAATGATATTCACTGACCTCAAAGTCCATCAAAGGCGGACCACTTTCTGAAAGTAAGGAAGCATTCAATAGATTATGGAGGCTACATGAAGCCACAAAGGCAGCATCATGATCTTTCTTATACCTGCATTGTGTAAAAGAAAAGGCAAAAACCAACGCCTAATCAAAGCCTACTTGATTAAAAAAAAATATTCTACCTCAAATAAGTAAAAGGCCAGCCTCGGCATGACAAAATGGTTTTAACTATGAACAGAGGGGTAGGGTAAACTTCAGGATAATCACATATTACTAGTGAACTGTAAAGATACAAATAGTAACAAATCAAGCTAACGGCTTACAATTCCAGAATAGTGGGCACAAGTCTTGGTAAAGCTGACTTCAGTTGCGTCCGAGTTACAAGACCAACCATCTGGCCTAAAGCCTCAACAGTAGATACGCGGACCTAAAGAAACAAAAGAAACTACATCCTTGAAAAAAACTGATATTCCAAATAAGGTTAACTATAAACAGCTTATACACATACAAATACAGAGAAGGAAGAGAACTTCTATTTTTCCAAGACCATCCAGATCATGTGTCCTTTAGCAATTTAGGCGTGAAAGAGCTAACTTTTCCGTCTAGCATACATTGTGTCCTTATATTTCAGGTAACACTGAAGATGATACCTAGTAATAATGTGCAAATCTTGTTGATATTAGACCAAGTCAACCCTTGAAACCACAAGGCCATAAGTCATATGCCAATTTGTGACAGTATAAGTTGCAGGAAATTGTCAACTACGTCAGGATATAGTGATCCCAATACATTAATGAGGTAAAAGGGACTTAATCTAGAGAGGCCAAGACGAGCTAATAATGGCAAAAGATTTATTTTCATCATCCTTTAGACGGTTGCAGATCTTTCGTCGAAGATGTTTAAAAGACTGCCAAGTGCCAACTAATAATCTATACCACTTTTAGACTCAAAAGATATTAAAATCAACAATTATCCAATACATGAATTCGGTTTATCAATCTTCTGATAAGGAAATTCCCAAAAGTATGTGCAGAATGTGACAAACTCAAAAGCATACAGAAGTAAGTTATCCGCGAGTTATATCATAAAAATGATAATAAAAACCAGACACTGAGAATCTCCTTTCGTTCATTGTGCAGCAAGCAAAATATAGAAACCTTTAATACATAGACCAGAAGAAGGAAAAATGAATACAGAGCAAACATGACTCTACAAATACAAACCTTGAGATCCCGTGAAGTTGCCCAAACTCTCAACAGAAGCTCAAATGCGGAATTCAGGAAAGACCTGCCCCAAATGGCTCATCAATATCCAAAATAATCATCTGCAGAAAATTAGAATCATGCAAGAAGAAGCAAATAAACTAGTCTTACATGACATCACCGTCAAGAGCAGTGTACAGTGGGAAATCAACACTATATTGCCAACAGGCCTGACACCAGGACTTGAATGCTGGAAAAGGGAAAGAAAAAAAAATCCTCAATCTAAGTATAATAGTAATGATCTGCATAGAATGCTTTATCACATTACTACCAACAGCCAAAGATAATGAGACCAACGGCATTACTACCAACTGCCAAACAATAATTGTATTCAATGTATAGTGGAATGCAAAAAAAAAATGGACTTAATATAAAATAATGCATATAGAACAATCAGAGTTAGGTCCTTGCATAAATTATTTATTATCTACACTACCAAAGACGCCGTATAATTTTACAAAACAGATACTCCCTCCTTCAAAATAATTCTAGTTTACGGTTTGGGCACCGTATTAAGAAAGATAATTAATAACTATGGATTGATGTTAGGAGAAGATGACTAATAGGACTAAATTACCCTTCCAACTAATTCTCTTTTTAGTTATTACCGTTGTCTTAATAGATGATCTAACCCTAATTATCTTGGCTATATTAATTTGGCTCTCCTCATATAGAAAATGATCCATGTTTCAGTAAAATTAGCAGCCTATACGTAATCAATGTCATTAGAATAATGCATCATTTCGAACAATAACTCGAACACTATAAGGTACATAACAAGAGCATAAATATAACCAGAAATAAGATACCATTGGCAAAGATTGGTCGGTGGATGTCCTTTACATTCCCAAGAATCGGCAGAACTCTTGTAAGTACACTTTTGAGCCGTGCAGTGAACTGAACAGCTTTGTATACCACAAAAAAAAACATCGATCAACCAGGAAACAAAAATCAGAAATCGAAAACTAGACTGTTTAAGTCAAAGTCAAGAGTCAGAACTAAAGATTATAACCTACCATCAGATGAAGCAAAATCTGCAAGTATTTGAACCATAGCTGGAAGTGCTGAATTTGATCCAGAGAGATGAAGTAGTATTTCATCCATCATCTAAAAGAGTTAAAAAATAAAATTTAAATGCATGCTTGAGTCTCTGCACCATACATAACTCTAGTGAATATTTGTTTCATCAACTAAGTCAAGGTTACTGGTGAATCCTGCATAGTAACTGCTATCAATTTTTTGCATATAAGTGGAGCTCAAGAAAACATAACAGATATTAGGGCTGGGACTGGGTTGGGTCGATTACCAGCCTAAAAACCGACCCATCCGTCAAACCATTTTTGCTCAAATTTGAAAACCGTTGCCGACCCAACCTTTGTGGATCGGTTGATGGTTGACAGCCGAGCATTTGGTTCCGGAATGGGTCGGTTGATGGTTTATATCCGCCCCCAAGTTCACTTAAAAAAATTCAAATTTTGGATTAAAAATATCCACATTTTGTGCAATGCCACGGTGCAATCATCATTTGTCAGTTCAAAATAATTAATAACAATTTAACGAAAAAATATAATTAGGAAATTCAAAGTAATTTCAAACAGGCACAAGAAATTTAGTGGAGTTTTGTGGGCTTTTTGTTTAAGCTTGGGCATAAAGAAACTGGTGGAAGATTTATGTCAATTTTTTTTTCCCTTTGTTAATTGTTCTTAAAATTTAAAATACTAATTATTTTGATAATTTCAATAACTGCTTAAGAAAACACGGCCTTTAATTTATATTTTTAATAAAATATTTAATAATATAGTTGGATAATTATCGGTCAACCAACTTTTGATAATATAGAAACCACCAACAAACCCATTATAGATGGGTTGGTTGAAATTTTCGACCCGATCCAATGGGTGGGTTAAAAATTGATTATCCGCCTAAAAATATGGTCGGTAATGGATCGGTTGGTGGATAAAAACCAACCCAGTCCCAGCCCCAACAGATATGGTATAAGTTATCATACCACAACAGTCAACATGTTACATTATGAAGATCATTCATGCCGGTAAAGATACTATCATCAGATCAAAGAATTCGTGTCAAAGCTATAATAAGCTTAATATATATTATGTCTAATGAGTACTAGTTTAGATGATGCAGCTTTGAATCTAGACTTCCAAAATTCGAGATTACTGTTGCTTATAGAGCATTTTATTCGTCAATCAATCAAATCAAGATTGTGTAAAGAATTCAATGAAGGAACTTACAAGGTCGGGCAGATGTAAACCTAATGCCACAAGGACAGAAGATGCAGCCCTTTGCCAATCAGCGTTGAGTTCCTACGGGAAGGAAAGTTTAACACATTATGAAATAGTGTCTAAACGATAAAAACAATGAGAAAATAACTATATATAATGAAATACCTTTAGTTAAAAAATAATGAAATTAGAACAGAGGATAATGAAAAGGGACGAGGCGGGACAAAAAAACGTCAAATAGAACCAATTCGAACTCAGGACCTTTCATTTGGCCTAGCTCTGATACTATGTTGAATGACCACCTCAACCAAAAGCTTAAGCTATTAGTGAAATGTATCATTTAATATTAATATCTCCAATACTAACAATGAAAACAACAATCAGAATACCCATATTTGTATATAGTATATAATTAACTAGCAGACTACACTCACTAAATTCGTATCACCATAAAGGCGGTAATAACTGAGAAATATTAATGAACAGTAAAAATTCAAGATAAATGTTCAGACAAATAAGCAATTCAACCTAGCAAAGAAACTAACGAGGCATCACACCAAACAGCATCTCCATGAGACTATCAATAAAATCAACCTATTTTAATTTATAGTTAATGTGAGTTCATTCTACCACGTTTTGTGGGAATAACAAAAATATAAGTAAAAATATAAAGTCTCGAATTCATCGAGTAAAAACGGCAATATAAAATTGAAGGTGCAGTCGCAGATGAAAGTTTAAGATTGACAATGTTGCAACCTGCAATTATATATTTTCCGACATGCTTTTCTTGACAAGGTTGCAATGATATATTCTCCAACATGCATTCATGAGTGTAACTCTTTCCCTTTAGTTTCTTGGTTAATATACTTGAACTAGTAATCATGTATATAAACCATATATAGAATAGTATATACTATTTACCACAATCACATTCCAGTGTTACAAATCAGATGGTACCTTGGTTGAGATGATCTCAGAAGCAGCTATTTTGGCAAGCTTTGCCATATAATGGGGATCAACATCATCTTTATCCAATGCTCGAATTGCCACAGACATAACTTGAAATAATCCAGCTATGTTCCCGTATCTCTGAAATTCCCACATGTAATACGAATTCTCTTATTACCTTATTCTTATTCTGATATGTTAGTATTTTAAGCAATAACAAGAAGCACAACATACCCTTCGGCCACCACGCGACACAGTTGAACAACAATCGAGAACCAGAAGTGGGTTCCTAGAAACACAATAATCCGATCAATGTACAATAAAATCTATATAATTCCAGAACCATGGGAATGTTTCAACAATTCATTCAATGTGGACGTGGAAATCAAATAAAACAAAAATTCACGGTTCCCAAGCAGAATTCACCCAATTTAGAGTACAAATTCGATTTCTCATACATCTATCCATGTGCGGAAAATTACAGCCAATAAAACAAAACGGGCAAGAATTGTACACTTACAGATGAGCTATGTCTTTAAGAGTAGCAGTCGAGGCTTCTCTGACCATGGGAGAATCATCTGCCAACGAAGAGACGAGAACTTGAACTGCCTCTGAAAAAAATCGAGATACCCACAAGACAATACAAAATTAGACCGATTAACGTTAATCGAATTGAGCTTAATAATGTGGTGGTGGTGGTGGTGTGGTGGTGGATGATACCTGGGGCCGGTATGGAATTGCCGGAACTGGAAGAAGCCATCAACGGGAACCGTTCGGAGAAGACGGAGATCGGAAAGGGGAGAAAAATAACACATAAAAATAAAAAGGAAAGGAAATAGACAACGTAGTGACAGCTAATTTAATTAGCGTAATATATCAAGTATCAACTGTGTTGTGTCTGTGTGTGTCTTTCCTTTTTTACATCATATCTATTTATTTATTTATGCCAGTGCACAATAATTAAACAAAATTATTTAATAATTTTGATTTTTGAAGAAAAAACTTTTATTTAATAAAATTACCTATTTGTGTTTTTCAACTTCTCATTATTACTTATTGGGTTAAATATACTTGTCCCCCTTGAATTATGGGGTGTGTGACACTTACCCACTTCAACTATGAAATGTTACACTTACCCCCTTCTAATCATTTAAATTTAAAAAAAATAATCGATGATAATATGAAAAAGACATACATAACCTCAATATAAAAGTTTATGAAATAGTGACAATACAATACATCATGAGTATTTTATATATGTAAGTACAATATTTTTAAAATATTTTTAATAAAATTATCATTAATGTTTGGAGGAAAAAAAATTTGTCTACAATTGAAACTCTCAAGTCACTTAATATAAAACAAAATTATCTAAGTAACTTAAAAGGTGACGGGGTAATGCTTATATTTTTTCTTTCTTCTTTTTTTTTTTTTTTTTTTCCGGGTCGGTGTGGATGAGTGCAGGGGTGAAACCAGGGTCAAAATGTAAGGGGGCTAACTAAAATTTTGTGGTTCGGGGCAGCGCCCCGAAAAAAAATTTAGGTGCACAAACCATTGCAAAAAATAAGTTTATATAACTAATTTTTAATTAATATATATATATATATATATATATATATATATATATATATATATATATATCATATTTTAATCATCACAAAAAATTCTAAATTAATTCAAATTATTCTAATAATATGCTGCACTTAATATTTCGGAGATTCATGGCACGATCTCATTTTTTTTTTGAAGGCGTTAGATAAAAAAAATTCAAAAATAAGTAATATTCATAAATTTTATTTAAAATAATACAAGTTTTAACCATCTTATTCTATATTTTATATTAAATATGATATATTCATCTATAATTTATATAATATTTTGGAGAAAAAACAAAAAAATTAATGGGTCAAGATAAATATTTACAAAAACTTTGGGGGGCCAAAAGTAATATTCAAAAAATTCAGTGCCAAATATATAAAAGATTTTTTTTTTTTTCTTGGGGGGTCAACGGCCCCCCATGCCCTATCAAAGTTCCGCAGTGGATGAGTGTGACCTAAGATTTTAGTTTTGGATGTGGATGACTATGGTGGACTATGATTTATTGTGAATGTTCATGGCTGATTTCGGGCTAGGGTTCAAATAGGGAGTTAGAGTTTTCAATTGTGTAAGTTCAAATTCACGACTATGTGTTCCTACGAGTGTCTATGGATTAAAAAGAAAATATATGTTTTTCTTCTTCACATTTTCAATATTATATAAAAAAAAAGTTAAGAAAAAACATATTTATATAATAATGCAAAAATACTAAAAGAAAAAAATCATGTTCTAAGTGAAAAAAATTAAGAAAAATATTATATGCAAAAAATGAAGATATTAAGTTTTTTTTTTTTTTTTTTTAAGAGAACGACACCCGATGAGGGTGGGGGGTTAGGCTTGACCCCCTACCTGTTTATAAAACAATATTTAAGAAGTACATAATGAGTTTTGCTCAAATTGCTACTGCCCAACATATGGCTAATAATAGCAGTTGACAAACAAAAGACAATAGCTAACTAACAAAACGTTAAGAATACGGGCAAACACAGGTGGCCCAAATAATAAAAGGGACGGGTAGGGAATGATCATAGAAGGTCGTGGAAGACCAAGGTAGACCGTTCGCCTCACCACAACAGCCGAGGCCACTTACACTTTCGCCAAAAATGAAGATATTAAGTTCATATATATTGTCATACGCGTTCACCCTTGCGATGTCAAATTTACCTAGTGGTGTTTATCCGGCTAGTAAACCTATCGGATCGAACTAAACGATAATTCTTACATGCCGATTACCGAACCGTTAATTCAGTGTGGTATTCAGTCTTTTATGTATATATATATATATATATATATATATATATATATATATATATATATAACTAAAATTAATAAAGTCAAAATTTTAAATATTTTTAATAAAATTTTGGTAATTCGGTTATTTATAGAACCAAACGCTAAACTGTATGAAATTTTGGCGTACCTCGTAGTTTTTGTACAGTTTTACCGAATAAACGTCCCTAAATTTATCAACATTAAGGGTTTTTCATAAAATAATACATAGTTGAGGGGATGCTTGTAATTATGCAAACACGAGGGTTTTTTTGTAATATAATACATAGTTGAGGGGGTGCTTGTAATTATGCAAATCTGAGGGGTTTTTTCGTAAGTTGACCTTACCTTAGGGGTGTGGTCGTAATTTGTCATATTGCCTAATACGCACTTAAATTCGTAATTAATGCATTAGAAAATCATCGATCATGCTAATAAATGACCATTAACCTTAGAGATCTTCAAACTCAAGATATTGCCTAATAATACTCACTTAAATTCGTGATTAATGAACATGCTAATAAATGAGCATTGACCGAAGAGATCTTCAAACTCAAAGATCATGCTTGCCATATAGATAATTGCACGTTCACGCCGCATAAACCCTCATCCAGCTCATTCAAACCCTTGCTGATAGAAGAGAATTGAAGAACTTCAAGGAGAGAGGTCAGAGAGAGAGAGAGAGAGCATGGATAGATTTGCGTCGTTGAAGGCGGCGGTGGAAACGGCGGCGCTAGTGGACGCCCACGCGCACAACATTGTGGCGGTCGACTCCACGTTCCCTTTCCTGAACTGCTTTTCCGAGGCCACCGGCGATGCCTTATCCGATGTACCACACACCATCAATTTCAAGGTAAAAGTACTTGTGAACTTATAAGCAGTACTGTATTTGTTCATCGAACTTGCGATCCCTCTGTTTCAGATATGACTTCAACTCTTTCGTTCACTTCACAAATTTTTTTGCACCATGTACGAACCGGTGGTCCGGTTTATTCCTATTCGTATGATTTATTATCTTTTAACTTAGACAAACTTTATATGTATTGATGCCTACCCTAAAAGAAAGAGGTTAGGGAAACAATTGGAGGTTATGGATCTGCTGAGAATTGAGATCATGTTGAAACGTGTGCAAAAGTGGAGGATTATATGATATTAATTTTATGTGTTCATAACCATGGCTTGCATACATGATATTTCTGTTCACATGGACTTGGATTCAAGTGTAGAAGCAGCCATGCTTTGGTTTTCAGATATGAATGAAATGCTATTTCATTTGGCGAAATAATATTCAGTTTTGAATGATTTCTTTATTATTTTGTCACATTCATCCTGTCCTCCAAGTATACACAAAAAGAACCGTTGTACATGGCAATGAATCAAAGAAAGGTTTACAGCTAGGAGCCATATCTTTTGATTTTTCAATTTCACAGTTAACTTGTACATGGTATGGCTTAAATGGATGATTATTAATGGTCAGAGTTAAAGGAATGAATATTAATCAAATAGTTGTTAATACAATTTCACAATTAACGAATCCAGGTTCAAATTAATGATGGATAAATTTGGTGGAAATGCAACCAAAGAGCAGGATGATTGTACTCTTCCAGCCAATATAATTGGTAGACAAGGAACTTATTAATGCGCTAGAAGTAAAACACAATGATTTGTAACTGTTAATTGTAGTTTTCCTAATATACTTTTTGTACAACTGATTTTGTTGAGAAATTTCTAAAGAGTTCACTTGTTTATATTTTTAGAGAAGCTTGAAAGAAATTGCAAAACTGTATGGTTCCGACGTATCATTGGATGCTGTTCAAGAATACCGGTCCATCTCTGGAGTGGAATCAGTAACTGCTAAGTGCCTCAAAGCTGCTAAAATCTCAGCCATATTCATTGATGATGGACTTGAGCTAGACAAAATGCACGAAATTGAGTGGCACAAGGAATTTGTACCATACGTTGGTAGAATATTAAGAATTGAACACGTGGCTGAGAAGATCCTTAATATGGTGAGAAGTTATGTACTTGTTTGGTTCATATTGCACTAATCTGTATTTTCGCTATCCTATGTTTCTTAGGTCAATTAGGGTAAATCTTTGTGGGTAAGAAGCTAAAAGATAGACTAGTGTCATCTGAATTACTAACGTTTATATTTTTTTTTATTACAACTCTTGATTCAGTAAACAATGTGTATGGGAAAATTTGTTTCTATCAGAATGTCCTCATACGTTATTTTGTTCATATTAATCCTTTCCTTTTGAGTTTGAATAGTTTTCTGGCATCACCTAAACTGAGATACTAGTTGTTTATTTGATAAACTTGTTTATCCATTGTATGCGGTTCCATTAGCTTTATTCTTACTGTTTCTTTACCTTTGACTTTGTTCTTATATTTTATTTTTTGTTTTTCTTTGAAATCTTGATTAGGAAAGACCAGGTGGAATTACATGGACATTGGACTCTTTTACAGAACAATTCACAGATAACCTGAAATCATATCCTTTTGTTTTCTCAGTATATGCTTAAATGCATTTGGGCTTGTGGAAAGAATTGCCACGTTCCTGTTGATTTCCTTATCAGTCATTACACATGCTGATAGAATCGTTGGGTTTAAAAGTATAGCTGCATACCGTAGTGGACTTGAAATTGACACAAACGTTTCAAAGAAGGATGCCGAAGAGGGCCTTAATGACGTTTTACGAGGTATTTTTTTATATAGAGAGATTTATGATAGTGCCTGACAGTGCATGATATCCTGATAGTCCATATTTCCAGCTGGAAAGCCTTTCCGCATCACAAATAAAAACTTCATTGATCACATCTTCATCTATGCATTGGAGGTTGCCCAATGTTTTGGCTTGCCAATGCAGATTCACACAGGGTAATAGTCGTTTCAAATTAAATCGAAGTTTAGTGGTTTCAACTCTTACACTAGATAATTGTTTCACTTCAATGCAAGTCGGTTTGGAACTCTCCTGGTACTAGTTCAAGATTTCAATTGATACTAAATCTTTGACTTTCTGATAATCTCCCAATTTGTCATGTTATTAATATTTTTCCATAATACTGTTTAGTAGTTGAAAACAAGTTACAAATTGTTTTTTCTGCTCCCTGTAGTTTCGGAGATAAAGATCTAGATTTAAGGCTATCCAATCCCCTTCATCTTCGCAATATTCTCGAGGATAGTAGATTCAGCAAGTGTAAAATTGTTCTTTTACATGCATCATATCCTTTCTCCAAAGAAGCATCATATCTGGCCTCTGTGTACTCTCAGGTAAGCTCTGGAAGTTGTTATGTGTATACTCTGGAGTCTGACACGAGGTCTTGTCATTTTAACCACTGTTTTGTCTTGAAATTGTCACCTTCAACTGCAGGTGTATCTGGACTTTGGGCTGGCAGTTCCAAAACTTAGCTTTCATGGGATGGTTTCCTCAGTCAAAGAGCTCTTGGATTTAGCACCAATAAAGAAGGTGAACATCGTAGATTCTAGGATTTGTTTTAAGAATTATTCTTTGCAATATGAAATCTGACCTCTAGAATTGAATTAAATATTTTAACGTTTCTGCTTTAAGAAAAAAATGAAGGTCCCATTTTAATAGTCACCTTGGTATAAAAATTCACTTGTTAAAAGTCTTTTCCTAATACCAAACCATGAATGGCAATTGGCAGGTAATGTTCAGCACTGATGGCTGTGGTTTTCCAGAGACCTTCTATCTAGGTTGGTTTGACCCATCTCATACTCTTTATCACTTTAATTTAATGCTAGTTTTCTTGCTAACTCAAGTACATACTTGATAAACATCAGTTCAATGACGTCTAGATCGGTTTTGCGTGAAAAATTGTTTATGCACTTTATGCTTGGTTAATGCGTAACATATCATCTTTATGTGAACCAAGGAGGAGTGCACACTGGTTTGATTCTTGATAATTGTGGCTAATGCAAAAGGGTTGAAATAAAGATGCAAGTGGGGCTAAAGTTATTTGAATGATATCTATCTAGTCACGCTGAAATGACCTCTTGAGAATGTTTATGAGCATATTTTAGTATGATAACTTCAGTTATGGAATCAATTTGGCAAAATGAATTTAAAGATTAAACTCCATTTACATTCTGTCAGTTCTTTGGATCTAGCTCGGAGGGATCTTGAACTATGAAATGTATTCAAGGGCGCTATCTTCAGCAAATTAAAATTATTTGTGAGGATTAATATTTAATTGTTGAGTCGTAAGATTGTTTGTTTACAAAAGATAGAGTACAGCCTCTAGTTCACAAATGATGGAAGATTAGGTTGCTCTTGCAATATCTCTTTCTATGGACAGGCTTGTAGCCAGTGACTCCAAATGTGGTGTCAAACACAAGGATCTTACATTCCCATCTTCCAGACATGAGTCCTAGAAGTTCGTTAAGACATTTCAGTTTTTCACTGAACCATCATAATTAAAATGGTAGTAGTGCTCCTACAAGAATCCTATTACTCCAATGAAACTCTAAATATGTCTTTGATTCTACCAAAATATACCAATCAAATCAACTCAGGCAAGTAATAGTTACGCATGCATAAACCTTTAACATCCCCATACTCCCTTTATTATTGCTACTTGGTGCCATTTTATCTTACAACCAGGTTGCTGAACTTGATGAATGCCTTATCAGGTGCTAAAAAAGCACGTGAGGTTGTGTTCTCTGTTCTGCGTGATGCTTGCACTGATGGAGATATTTCAATTCCGGAAGCTCTTCAAGCTGCTAAAGACATATTTTCTGAAAATGCAACACAGTTATACAATATTAAGACTGTTTCAGAATCTTTTGATTCTAATGACATTGCACTCCCCTACTCTATGAAGTTGGACTTAACTGCTCCTGTTAAGGGTGTTGCATTTGTTCGCATTATTTGGATTGATGCTTCTGGACAGCATAGATGTCGAGTAAGCTATTCGTTCTAACCTTTTCACTTTGGACTGGAAGCTTGATTGCCATAAAGTTCTTCATTATTTTATTGTAATGCTCGATTTAGTCTCAAATACATCTTCTGACATGGGAAAATTGTACATGTTGCAAAATAATGATTACCAATTTGGAAAATCAGTTTACCAATATCATCAATCACTTTGTTATGTATTAGGTGGTTCCTCAAAAACGTTTCCATGATCTCGTTTCGAAGAGTGGTGTTGGACTAACCTGCGCTTCGATGGGTATGTCTTCGCACACGGATGGTCCTGCTGATGAAACTAATCTAACTGGAGTGGGTGAAATCAGACTCATTCCTGATCTATCAACCAAAAGAATAATTCCCTGGTAAAATATTTTCTCTTTACCTTTATTTTAGGCAATTGCACAATTGCATCAGTCCTTGCCATATGGCAAATCCTTCCTTTCACCTTTCATTTTCAAAGTTCTCCAGAACCCATGTGTAATGGAGAGAGTGTAACATGTTTCCTGATACTTGCCACGTCACCAAGACTATACCAACAGTCCATCAGTTAACCGATCGATATGGTTGTTTTCATTAATATTATTTTCTCCTAATTCAATAATTCACATTACTTGCCTTCTGCAATGCTGAAACAGTAATCAGCTGCTGGATCTTTTGTTTGTACTTTCCATAGTAAACATCCAAGAATCTGTAAAAACATGGGTATTAGATCTGGTAGGAGTGGAGTGGGCGAGTTGCTAGTGGTTGGTAGCATGGTAAGGACTGTTGAGAATAGAGACATAGTGCAATGTGATGGGAAGATTGCTGATCTGAACTGAAAGAGGATAGATAAAAAGTAATTTTCGAGAGATCATTAGATTGGAAAGTATCTTTGTTGGAACGGTATTTTGAAAAAGAAACAGTCAAATGACATCAACAACTTTTCAAGTTTAGGACAATAAGAATGTACCCTAACCGTTAAATAGCAAAAGAAAAAAGAAAAGAAAAGGGAAAACGTTGAACTACAACGATGATGGAATGAAAAATCAGCTTATACTGAGGAAAAATGTGGAAGTGAAATGCCCTGAACTCTCATTACATGAGTACTTGAGTGGAGTCGTTCACAAAAATAGTAAGGGCATTTGTTCGGAGATACCACCTTTCAATTTTATGTGATGCTACAAGAGAATCAGTTGATTTGCTTAATATATTTACTTTTGAAGTGTATATGTGTTGCTAACGTTATTTCTGTTCCTTTCAATATTCCGTTCACAGGGCAAAAGAACAGGAAATGGTTCTGGCTGACATGCACCTTAAACCTGGAACACCGTGGGAGTATTGTCCCAGAGAGGCGCTGCGAAGAGTTTCAAAAGTTTTGAAAGATGAATTTAACTTGGTACTATCTGTTTTTCTTTTTTCTTTTTGTTAAATTTGTCATATTTGTTTAGTCTTATGTCAATTTGCTTGTTGTGCAGGTAATTAATGCAGGTTTCGAGAATGAGTTTTATCTCTTACGGAGTGTGCTGGTGTAAGTGAGATATCATTGGATTTCCTTAGCATTCTAAATTACCCTTGTGATTTATGACTCAATTGGTACTTGACATGAACTTTTGCAGGGATGGGAAAGAAAAATGGGTACCATTTGATGCAACTCCTTACTGCTCCACAGTAGCATTTGATGCTGCTTTTCCTATACTTAATGAAGTTGTGGCTTCTCTTCAGTCGTTGAATATCGCTGTGGAACAGGTACATAAAGATTTTTGTGCAGTCTTTTCTGCACAGGGACTCTAGAAAATTTTATGTTCCAACTATCCGGAAACATATGTACTTAGTAAATACTACACTGAATGCAGAATATGTGAAGAACCTGAATGTTTGAGTGGCTCTTTCCACAAAACAAAGTAATGATCCATTTTTTTATTTGACTAATGAGAAATATAAAATAATTTAAATATAAAATATAAAAAATAAATAAAATATATTAATAAATATATTATATATATAAACAAAATAAGAGAATATAATTAATAAACTAAATAAAAAAAGGGCGCCTTCTTTTATTCGAAACGCCTTATGATCTTCAACCAATTATGTGCTTCAATATAATTACCAGGAGTAGGCGCTATAGTCTGTTACCAATACTCGGCGTATAAATACAATCGGTACATTCACTGAATTAAAATAACAACTTCTACACTCTTAGGGCACCCAAAAATTGCTTAACTGTTTTTTTTTTTGTACAAATTCGACTTTTCAAATCACTGGTTATATATATTTGCCTTAGTTCCTCCAAAGTAGAGTGTGTATTTTGAATATTAAACTTTATTTGATGTATCCACTACACTAATTACTGGTATGGATTTATCTAACGGTGATTTGTTTTATTTCAAGGTCACATGACTAATTTTTGCTTCTAATTAGATCGTCTAGCAATATCATAAGAATTTGGTTGAATAGTACTTCATGAGTCGTTCTTTTCTTTAAGAGATACAACTAATGACTTCAGGTTTCTCCTGTTAAGTATAAACCCTCAAGAGATAGGTGTGTTGTGTGCTTCTGTTTGTGCGTGTGTGTGTTCTGTGCTTTTGTGTGTGTGTCCCCCCCTGGGTGTAGAAGAGTTGGGAAGTTTTAAATAAAGATCTCCTGACTACTAAAATTCATTTAGCTTATAAGTAACACTAGTACTATTAATTTTCATTTAAGTAGAGTTCCTACATTTAATGAACAAGATGTTAGTACTTCGTGCTTATCAAATCACTAAGTTGTTCATCTCAAACAAAAACCAAAATTGACTTCAATTGTTATGTTTTTGGAAATCTTGTAGCTGCATGCAGAAGCTGGGCATGGTCAATTTGAAATCGCATTGGGTTACACAACCTGTGAAAATGCAGCTGACAACTTAGTTTACACACGTGAAGTTATACGGGCTGTGGCCAGAAAACATGGATTATTGGCGACTTTTATACCCAAGTAGGTATTCAGATATTAGAGTTTTATATTATGGCTGCATGGTACTTCATTGAGCTGCTTACTGTGTTCTTCATTCACTTATGAAATCTGAATGAAGTTATTGCTCTCAAAGTTATTCTGGTGGATCTATTTTGCTTTTATTCACTCTTGCTGCACATACATGTCAAAGTAAAATGATTGAGATGCCTGGATATTTCTGCTTATTCTATTTTTTTATGGTGAATATTCGATAAATCCAGCAACTTCACGCTGATAATTATGTGGTGTGGTCCATATTTTTATTATCCTAGGTACGCTCTTGATGATATTGGCTCTGGATCACATGTGCACATCAGTTTGTCCGAGGACGGAGAAAATGTATTTATGGGCAGTAGTGGAGCAACTAGATATGGAATATCCACGATAGGGGAGGAGTTCATGGCTGGAGTGTTGGATCATCTTCCTTCAATACTGGCGTTTACAGCACCACTTCCAAATAGGTTAAGACATTATTGACTAAATTCATTTTATAGCTATTTCCCTTTATCTAATGTGTTTCTTAATGTCTGTAAATTGCAATGACCAACTGCATTAAATCATCTAAAATTAAACAACTGATTTTTTATTTTTTTATTTCTAATTTTTTTTTTCCGAAACATAAGTAGTTGTGCTTGGTACCACATGCATGATTGTTGCCTCAAGATCTTATGGCAGTAGTTATAGTAAAGCTCATTTTAGCTCCACATTGCTTTAGACTAATAAATTCTCCTTGACCAGTGAGACATCTTATTTTCGTTTCTGCCTTTTAGTACAATTTTTTTCCAAAAATGAAGCTGCAAATATTATTTTCTGTTCAAAAGAAGGGGGGGAAATACAAGATGCCGAAATGTGTTATGCTTATAGGTTTTCTTCATCACGTTATGAATGATAACAATGGTGTGTTAATATTATTGTGCCTAATTTTAATGCCCTATAGTTACGATCGTATACAACCAAATACATGGAGTGGAGCGTATCTATGCTGGGGGATGGAAAACAGAGAAGCTCCTATAAGAACCGCTTGCCCTCCTGGAACCCCAGATGGATCTGTAAGCAATTTTGAGATAAAGGTATTCGATGGTTGTGCAAATCCTCATCTGGGCCTGGCTTCCATAATTGCTGCTGGGATTGACGGCCTACGCAAACACACTACTTTACCCGAACCAATTGGTAAGACTATTTCATACTATATTGGGTTATGATATTTGTAATGAAATCACAAGATGAAGTAAATGCTTTCTTTTACATCATATAATTAATGATCTATACATAATGCCGGAGTATATTCATAGGTCAACATATCATGAATAATAAACTGATGAAGAATTTTGTTTAGAGCCATTTAAGTCTTATATTTTAGATCTTTCGATGTGGTTTTTGTCATCCTCTGCCCATGTGATTTTACACTTCACATTTTGTTGATACTTATAGACTTGATTTTCCTTAACAGATGATAATCCAGACAATTTCAAAGACAAAGTGAAAAGGCTACCTACGTCGCTCTCCGAATCTGTTGAAGCCCTCGACAAAGACACAGTTCTGCGAGATTTGATCGGTGACAAGGTTTTGATTGCCATCAAAGGGATTAGGAAGGTACATGCTCGCGTATTTTGTGTGTATAGCCTCAAAATCTCTAATTAAGTAATTAATCATATATATGGTATATATATTAGATATTTGGTAATAAATAGCTGGAATAGAGCACTCGTAGTTTCATAGCTAACCGGGGTTTAGGGTTAGAAGTTGACTATGGTTTCCTGTTTTGCAGGCTGAGATCAAGTACTATTCGGAAAATAAGGATGCCTGGAAAAATCTGATTTACAGATATTGAGGTCACTGATAATCCTCAATCGTCTTCATAAAGTTAACATTGGTTGAAACTTTGTTGTATTTCTTTTCTGTCTAATTCCTTAAAAATCAATTTCATAAACCTAATTGTTGTCGTCATCAACTCACAAGTATTATTCTCTGTTGTTGTCATGAACGCACATGTATTCGATATGTTTGTTTGTTATGTCTGTAAAAGAAAGCTTCACGTGTTGAGAATACTTTGTCCATGTTTTTCTTTTTGTTTGCTTACAGTAAAAGTAAAATGAATCCAACAGCTAAAAAGAAATCCCACGTTGAGGCGTGGCCCGGAAACTGAAGAAGTGCTTGTGCAATTGTTTTTTGGAGGGCCCGAATTGATGGCTCAGGAATATGGGCCGGGCCTACCCACCCAACAACAACATAATCTCCATGACTGCGACTGTGTCCACATCAGTACGTATCTTTGGGGTCCCAGTTTATTTAATCATAATTATAGTTTTAAGATGAAATTATAAAAAAACTACTATTTATACAAAAACAATTGGCATTTGCAAAAAGAAAATTGGGGTTTGTAAAGTAAAAATATCCCTAGTTAAATAGCTAATTCCTGCAATTGACTGAACTGCTCCGTAATTGTTTGTCAACGACTGAATTAGTAAGCTCGGCTCGATTGAACCATCAGCTAAACGTCAATGATGATTTAATCAAGGTTATCCTTTTGATGCTTAAGGATAACATCTTAATTAAGTTATTAATTAATTGCTCTACTCTAAATTGCTGTCTGTGACAGTGACTTTTAATTTAATATTTTCTGCAGGATTTATGCATACTTTTGAGCAATCCTACTGAATACTGGTTTGACAATTATCCTTCTTATTTAAATTTTTGTCTTATTTTTTTTAATGATATATGAAATTGATCAAAAAAAAATTCTTACAGTTACATAATAACATAGATATAGTAATATTCCGACCAAATAACACTGTGATGGGCATCCTAAAAGAGAGGGCCAGCTAGTGAGATAATCATTCATATAAAGAAACCAAGAAAACATGTAACATGTGACGATTATTTATATTATTCTAATCATCCTAATTAGACATGGGTGACATTTTAACTACTGTTGACATGACACATGTAACCTACTAGTTGAAACATTAGTAATTTTTCAATCCAGAAACCAACTAGATATCTAAAGAGAATACTTTATGCACTTATATTATGTGATTAATTTACAATTAAATATAAAGTAAAATACTTTATAATTGGAGATGGCCGGTGGGTCGGCTGCCGGACTAACCTCAGATGGGAATGAATGCTGGAAGTTTTGTTGAAAATGACAAGTTTTTGTATATATATATATAGGTATGTATTATAAAATAAAAAGTCTCAATCTAATTAATAAAAGTTTGAATATTTGAGAGTACTTAAGGCCACGGTTGCCTGTCATGTATTACTTTTATTATGTTTCTGGAAGTACAAAAATAATGCTAACCAAGAAATGATCCCAAATCTTGAAACTTTCCATTTGCTGATAACCGAAATACATCGATGCCGTTTATTCAATTCACAAAGAAGGTGTTTTAATTTCTTTGGTTTTGATCCACATTTAGTACTTGTTATTTGGCTACAATTCCACCATTTCTACATGTCTACAATAACACCCTCTCGTCGTATAAAAATCGAATACGTATCTGCCCATGTTCTGATAATTTCCAAGACTGGTAGTAATTAGTTAATCAAGACAAGTAGGTATGTATACTTTTCTCTCATAGTTGATAGCTGTATGTATTCAAAGGTATACCAGTAAGGCAAGTTTTTATTGGTTCACATAATGTACACCAAGCTTGAAAGTGACTCCATTCTCCACATATTATTGTCCATTCAATAAAAGTGCATTCTTAATTAGAGTTTTTTTTTTTTTTTTTGTTGCATCATATTATTTCAGTAGTTGTTTTTGTTTTTGTAAAATATTGGAGGTCAACTTTGTTTTTGCTTGTAAAGAGAAGGTCAACGGACCAAGCCAACAAATCAAACTCTGCAGGAGGAGATGTTTGAGCCTAGCAATTGAAGCTCTGCATTGCAAGAATCAAATATACAAAGAAACTACATATATCTTTATTATTCTGACACACTCAGAATAAAGTACTTATCTTTATCTGTCACCGATGTCTGGCTCCGAGGCCGCCGTTAACGACGTCCAAGGAGCAGTATCTTTATCCGTTAGGACAAAATCTCTTGATCATTCCACACTATCTAATGATCAAAGTAAAAGCCGCTTAAGTGAATTAAACGGCACGGATTACCATATCTCACTTCCTAGCGGTGAACAATACTCCGGATCACTCGTAGGGAACTCTCCGGAAGGTTCCGGAACCTACACCTGGTCCGACGGCTCCACATATGAGGGCCAATGGAGGTTCGGAGTTAGGCATGGATACGGAAAACTCCAATGGCCTTCTGGAGCTTTTTACGAAGGGGAATTCTCAGGCGGATACATAAACGGATCCGGGTCGTACACCCGATCCGATCGAGCGGTCTACAACGGCCGTTGGCGGTTGAACCTCAAACACGGGTTAGGTTATCAAACTTACCCGAACGGAGATATTTTCGAAGGGTCGTGGATTAAGGGGGCCCCACAGGGGCATGGTAAGTACACGTGGACCAATGGGAATGTGTATATGGGAAATGTGAACGGTGGTAAAATTTCGGGGAAAGGAACTCTTACTTGGACAAACGGTGATTCTTATGAAGGGAGCTGGTTAGACGGTCATATGCATGGATTCGGGGTTTACACGTGGGTCAAATTATACGGTGGTGGGACTTACGTAGGTACATGGACACGTGGCTTAAAGGATGGTAAAGGAACTTTCTACCCAAAGGGGAGGAAAATTCTTGAATCTTCTCAGCAAATGTACCTTAATGCATTGAGGAAACGAGGGTTGCTGCCTGATTTAAGGAAACAGAATAATAATAATCGGGTGGTTAATAATGTTTCGTTGGAGAGAAGGTGGAGCATGTCGGAGATTGTTCTAGAAGGTGGTGTGGATGATGACGATGAGATGATGAATATAGATATAGATATGCCAATTTTGGAGAGAGAGTACATGCAAGGGGTTTTAATAAGCGAGCTTGTTTTGAGCGATCGTTTTTGCAAGAGGAGAGAGAAGAGGCTTGCCAGGGAGATTAAGAGGCCGGGCGAACAAATTATTAAAGGGCATAGGAGTTACGATTTGATGCTGAGCTTACAGCTTGGAATCAGGTTTGGTATAATGTTCGCCTGTAATTCATTTATTCGTTATATAACACTCGACTAACGACTACTATATATACTCTTATTTGTTTATTAACAGATATAGTGTAGGGAGAATTACTCCCATACCAATGCGAGAAGTTAGGACAGCGGATTTCGATCCTCGTTCAGGATATATGAGGTCCTTCCCTAAAGAGGGTTCGCCGCAGACGCCACCTCATCAGTCCGAGGATTTCAAGTGGAAAGATTACTGTCCAATTGTTTTCAGGTTTTTTTTTTTCTTAATAAAAATTCCTTTTATCAAAAAACTATGAATAAATATGATTCCGTTTGGTTTATCTCGTCTGTAGGAATTTGAGAGCGATGTTTAAGATTGATGCTGCTGATTATATGATGTCGATATGTGGAAACGATGCCCTGAGAGAACTTTCTTCACCTGGCAAGAGTGGCAGCATATTTTTCATGTCTCAAGATGACCGTTTCATGATCAAGACACTACGAAAATCCGAAGTTAAGGTTCAATACTATCTATTAATATATCTAATTAATTTCCTCTTTTTATAAATAAATAAATAAATATACAGTTAAACCTCTATAAATTAAAACAGTTGGGACTAATAAAATTCAATTGATTTAGTATTAACTTACCGAATTAAAATATAAGCACGTTGTCACCTAGTCGGGACCTGAATAAATTATTATTTAAGCGAGGTTGTTAATTTATCGAGGTTCGACTTGTATATAAAGTTATTTTACAGTGAAGAATTCGTTAAGACAGATCAACGTTGACACGTTGCAGGTTCTGCTGAGGATGCTCCAGAACTACCATCTTCATCAGTGCAGATACGAAAACACGCTCTTAACCAAGTTTTTCGGTCTCCACAGGATCATACCTTCCAGTGGTCAAAAGGTAATTAAATAAATATAATTTTGCTCTGATTATTATTACAACACCAATTTTTTTTAATTTTTTTTAATCTTGTAGTTTCGGTTTGTTGTAATGGGAAATATGTTCTGCACGGAGTTAAGAATTCATCGGAGATTCGATCTGAAAGGTTCTTCGTTGGGGCGTTCTGCTAACAAGGTTGAAATTGATGAGAACACTATATTGAAGGATCTGGATTTAAATTACTGCTTCTATTTAGAACCTTCTTGGCGAGATTCCCTCTTACAGTAAGTGTCAAAATATAATCATAACTACATTTGTTGCCTTAAACTTCCATTTAAGGTTTTTTATCCATTGTATATTGCAGGCAAATTGAGATAGACAGCAAATTCTTGGAATCAGAGCAGATAATGGATTACAGTCTCTTGCTCGGCATTCATTATCGAGCACCGCAAAACCTCCGTTATGGATTAGGCATCGTTGCAGAAGATGGCAAGTTTTGCTAGGCATTCATTATCGAGCATCATTACATCTCTTAATTATCATACTAATTAAAAAGCTTTTAATTATCAGAGGATGAAATATCTCCACGAGGGCTTGTGCTGGTGCCACGTGGATCTGATGACGTCAGCGTGATTGTGGGGTCGCATATTAGAGGCAGCAGGCTGAGAGCCACCACATCTTCGACTTTCGGTGACGAGGAAGTGGATCTTCTCCTCCCTGGTACTGCAAGGTAATCAATCAGTCAATCTTGGACTATTTATCCTGTGATAAATTTTTATCACTCGATGATTTGTGGTTTCGGTTTTGACAGACTGCAAATCCAGCTCGGTGTGAATATGCCGGCAAGAGCGGAGCATATTCCGGGGCATGACGGCGGGAGTACCCACCGTCAGATGTTTCACGAGGCGTACGATGTTGTCCTGTATTTAGGTATTATCGACATACTGCAAGAGTATAACACGACGAAGAAGATCGAACATGCGTATAAGTCTGTTAAGTTCAATTCGGTCTCGATCTCTGCTGTTGATCCCACATTTTACTCTCAGCGCTTTCTGGGATTCATTAAGAAGGTTTTCCCGCCAAATTCTGTTGTGGTTTAGTTTGACGAGTGTGATTTCACTAAGTCGGCCCAGTAATATTTTGGGCCTTCATCGTATCTGAGCCCAACTAGAAAGCGTGTTGGAAATTGTAAATTGCGCTTTCTAATTTTTCCTTCATGCATCTTTTATCAGGACCGGCAATTGAGCTGGGCCTAACGGGAAGCCTAATTGATCGGCCCGATTATATGTATATCGAAAAAAAATCCTCACCAATTCCAATTTTGAAAAAAAATAAAAATTAAAAGAAATATTTTCATTCCGATGTTTCATTTTTCTGATTTTTACCCAAAAATATTAACTTTGATAAATCCGATTTCCGGTTCATATTAATAAGCCCAGTCTAAAACTACAATAAAATGTATGAACCCAGTCTAATGAATGAGAACAACAAAACAGCTATTGTGTTTTTGAAAACTACAGACTCGGAACGAGAGTATATGTTTACCCAGTGCAATCCAGGAATTCCCCGATAAACCAATATGCCAATCGTTTATATGAACTTAGTATTACACGTTACCACGTAAGAACCAAACCAATTAACACGATCTATATATTTCACTTGCCTCACTCAAAGTCGATAGAAAGGATTGGTCTTCAAAATTTCAACTTAGCTATTTCAAAATAATGGCCAGCAGAAATTGGCACGGGAGCCCAAGTCTTCCGAGGAAAACTCACACAAGACAAACTAATTGCTAGATACAGCACTCAAAGCCTCTTCTAGTATTCGCCTAGCTTCAGTTCCAGGATCAGCCAGTTCAGTTGGAGTCTGCCAATATTTTACTCATTAACTAATATGTTACGACACATAAATTAATAAGAATTATCACTCACGTACCTTCCCGTAGATATTTGTCTTAGTCAGAGAAGCTCCATGAGCAAGCAACAATCTTACCACATTGCCGTATTCGCCCCTAGCAGCATGGTGAAGTGGCTTGATAGAAGACGCATAATTTTTTTATCAGATTTAAACAATTAAAGTTGGTTTAATAAAAACATTTATCAATCACGCATGATTGATTGCATATACTCACCGTATCCCCTTCAGTATCAACAGTTTCTAGCATTCTCTTCACACGCTCCGGTTCATTAGCATGGTTAATCATAAGTTGGACAATCTCTGTATAACCTGCGCCAAGTGGTTTTCGGGAATACGAAGCAAAAGAACTAAGACCCTAATAATTCATAACAAATCAACAATTAAATAAGATATGGATCGAGAGAAAGCTGCATAAACCACCTCCTGCACAAGCATCATGCAAGGGAATTCCTCCGTCTTCATCTTTCACCTCCAAGCTAGCTCCCTTTCCCAATAAAAACTGCAAGTAAATTATATTTTACGGATTATCAATCTGAATGGATAACGAATAAAATCGTTATCGTAATCAACAAATAAATAGGTATTTTGTCTCGATTAGTTGAATGAGAAGATATGACCTGGACACAGTTCAAATGGCCATATAGACATGCGAGATGAAGAAGAGTGTCACCATCTTCCATTGGTTCATCAATACCGCCGTTGAAGTTTTCTGCATTTGTACATTAATTTCGAACAATAATCAGTACACACAACAGCATTATTTTGGTATCTACACAACTCTGGTGCACATAGGCATTTAGGCATCCAAAGATGTCTAAAATTAACGAAACAAATCGATACCACAGACACGCAATTAAATTGATGTATTAGAACATAGCTAAACAGCTAAATAAACTTGACTTCAAACTGGAAGGAATAATCTGAGCTGAAATGTATGGTTCTTCAGAATTGACATAATTACAACTTCAGAAACTCATCTATGGCATAAACAGAGGGGCAATAGAGTTTCCACACACAGTAATTCATCCATACAATTAACTCAAGTTGCTGTCACAATCGGAAACAGGATTGCAATTTATCTGCCGATCTCTAATTTAAATAAATCAATAACAAAAAAATTAAAAATCGAACGAAAACGGCGGTTAACAGAAATCAGCAGCGGTTACCTAGGGCTAGGCGGAGAGCGTTGAGGTCACCGGACTCGGCGGCGGAGACGAGGGGGCGGAGGTGGAGAGGTATTTCAGAGTTGTCGATGTCGTCTTCTACGGCCAAATCCATAACGTCGTCGTCGAATAGAGGGGCGGCGTCCTCATGGCCACCGTCGCGTCGACCATCCGGCACCGGCATCTCCAACCGTCGTCTCTTTCTATCTGTAACAGCCGCCGGCGCGCAGCAGGTAAATTCAGCCGTAGCCTAAAGCCTAAAACCTCAAGCCCGAAAATTTCTAAAATTAAATTTTAATTTGCGATTTTTTCTAGCACTTTAAATACTGAATTAATTGTGTATCTCCGTGTAATTAACTACAGTTTTATGCTAATTAATTACTATATAAGATGCATACCAATGTTGTATCAGGTTAAGAAAATTGGGCCGGATTTTGCACTTTATAAGTTATGAGCGAGTCCACTATGGGTGAATACACTTTCTAAATCTCAATTCAGAAAGGCCCAAAATAGTGAGATTATAATTTTGTTAATGTTGAGTAGTAATCAAATAATATTTAATTACTTCAAATTGATGTGTACATTTTATTAAGAGTAGCATTAAATGTGTAACATAAAAAACCATGGAAGCCATAAATCATGGATTTTGTTTTAGTTTTTATGGAATATTAGACAATTAAAGTATGGAAGTGGCAATCAATCATGTCCCGTGCGGCACGTGCCAATGACCCATACTTATTCACTTTGACACTACGTGGTTAAATGTTCCACCCAAAAATAAAAATCACATGCTACCGTTCACAACCAATTATATGTGCAACTCACTATTTGGTGTTTAGCAACTCACTATGCATGATCAATCATTTAATGAGCGTCAACGTTTGATGTGATGCAAATATACTGATGATTTAATCTTATTTTGGTAACCAAACGAGATATGAGTATATAATACTGATTACTTTTATATACTTAGGACTAATTTGGTTGGGAAGATTAGTCGTGATTAGCTAAATAATGAGACTTTGTTTGATGTTTGATGTTTAATATTCGATATAACCTATAACTTCTCGAGACGATGTTATCATGTGTTATCTTGCATTAGAGAGCTTTTTTTAATTGCCTTCGATGATCCAATACTATAATTGAGTTTTGTTAGATTATTTACTCTTATCTTGACTAATTATATCTTGCAACCAAACGAGGTCTAATATATACGAGAATAGTTCATATATGCGACGAAAAACAGGTCTAAAAGAGAGGGTAGTGAACTAATGGAGAAAATTAAATTCAAATTGAAACGTGTTACATTGTGTATAATACTAACTTCAAATTATACATAAATGCTGGTTAAACAATACAATTCGCTTTTTTAATGTTGAACTAATTGAATACTTGATCCCTTAATCACCTAATTATGACATAATTATAATGTATGATCTCTTAAAAATCAGAATTCGGCGATTGACTATCTAAGGTATAATATGATGCAATAGATGTTAGGCCATGTCGACATCAATAAAATTATGCAAAATTTGAATCAAATAAACCTAAATAATGCATTTGCATGACTTAATACAGAATTGGAAAACTAGCTAACATGTAACTAATAAAACAATTTCAAACAAAAGACCTAATTAATTAGTTGGCCATCATATATTAATTATCAAGAATCAAATTATACAAAAGAATGAATATATATAAATTTTAAAAATAACTAAATATAAATTAATAAAAATGTAAAAAAAATACACATTTTCCCAGTTTAGGTCGTCGGAAAAGATTAAATAAAAGAATATGTAACAAATAAATTAAATTTTAATTACTAATAATGGCAATCCACCACCATCGGAGAAGTACTGGAGAAGACTATAATTTGTTCCTTGGGTGCAAACGGAAATTTGGAATCTCTGTGATCGTGATCTTCCGGCGCAGGAAGATTCAGATCCAACGAAAGCAGATTATTCCTCGGCCTCTTCATTTCTTGAGACTCGCCGCCGCCGTGGCTAATATTACTAGTCGCCGCCGCCGCCGTGGGTATTGGCCTGTGCCGCCGCATGTGACCGCCCAAGGCCTGACCGGAGGCGAATTCAGCTCCGCAGATTGAGCATTCGTGAACCCTAATCGTCGTCTTGCTCCGAAGGCCGCCGCCTGTGATTTGAAGGGAAAGAATAATCGAACTATCGTCGGCGCAAGGGTTTGACGGAGAATAACTGATTTCTTGCGGCCTGTACTGTTTTAACGGCGGCGGTTTTTTGATTTCGTGATCTAGGGTTTGTGGCTTAATCGGTCTTTTATGACTTGCCCTGTGTCCACCGAGCGCTTGGAATGAAGAGAAACTTTTGCTACACGTCTTACACTGGTAGACCTCCACCGCCGCTGCCGCCGCCGCCGCCGACGGCGGTGGCTTCTGGATTTGCCCTCCGGCCAATAGCATTAAACAGTTGGCCATGTCTTCTTCCTCCTGATGATCACTGGAATCACGATCACAACTGCCGGAAATGTCGGAAATAACCACCCCAGCGCCGCTGGAATCGGCGGTGGTGGATGAGCTGGTAGCAGCCATGGTTAAGGCAAGAGGGGAAGCTGCCCTAATTGACCGTTTGCTCCTCTTTCCCTTGATAAAAATTACTTCTTCTTGAGCTAATTGCATAATATATAATATATAATATATATACTTTGATTTCCTTTTATTCTTTCGAGCAAAAATTAAAAATCGATCACAAGTATATATGGGAAAAGGAAAGAGAAAGAAGGTGGGGGAGGAAACGAGAATAGAAAGTAGGAGTTGATATATATATAGAGAAATAAGAAAAAGGGGCTTTTTAGTAATTTGAGGATGAAAGTGTTGATTTGGTATAGAGTGTTGAAAAGGCAAACCCCATCAAAGTATTCATCTTCTTTTCTTGCACTTACAGTTTAGGAAGTTTACATGTAGCTAGCTACCTAGAATATGTGTGTGTGTGTGTATAAGTGTAAGTAATGTAACAAACTTGCACAAGTAAGGTATACATACAATACATACAAATTAATTAATTAGTTGAAATAAATAAAGAAAGAAAGAAAGAAGAAGAGAAATCCTAATTAAGGATAGAGAGAATCGGTTGGCTTAGAAGCAAAGAGCATTAATACTTTTAGGGAAGGATTGGTTGTAGAGGATTAGAGTGCAAGGCTGGCACATAATTTATTGAATATTAGCTTCACCACCCCACTACTTCTTCTCTTTAATTACAAGTGTTTTAAGTCTTTAATTAGTGAATTTATTAATTATTGACTAATTAGTAGATATATTATATTATGAACCAACTAACAATTGCATGAAGAGTACTAAGACCTAGTGAATGTGACAGTAGGAAGAAAACCTTAATTATTTGACTGATTCATCATTTATCTTTTTGTTTAACAAGTGTTTTATTACATCAACCATGACATGTCATATTGCATTAAAAATCCTGTTCATGTTGAATTAGTAAATTATTTATTATTTTACTACTCTTTTAAAATTAGACTTTTAGAGGCAATTAAATACTTAAGTGTGTTTTGGTAGCTTTAATTTTTTATTACAACCAATTTGTAGGGTAAAGTGGTTCTGAGCTTTACCACTACAGACAATTGGTGAGTAAGATAAGCAGGTTCCATGTGAACTATGAAGCTGGTGCACTAGCCACGTATATATATATCATTACTATAAAATACTAAACAAAATCCAGTAATATATTATATTTATATAGGTCATGAAATCTGTATATATTATCATTCTGTTGATCATTAATTACATATGACAAAAATAGACTTGTGTGACTTACAGGAAAAAAAATAGAATTTCAATAATGCATTAATGCATTTTAATTTTCTCAATTTAGCCATTTAATTTGTTACCCTTAATTGGTTGAAATAAAATTAGTTAAAAAAATATTTAATGATAATGACATTCTGGTCAAATTTATTAATTTTGTTGCTATAATTTATGCATATTTATTAATTTTGTTAATACACAACAACAATAATTGACAAATATTCAGGCATGGATGGAGTATGCTACCACTCATTAATGTTAATGTTACTAGTAAATTTGGATTTATTTAATTAAAATAAAGACGACTTAGTTAGTTTTTTAATCTCAATGAAATGACACTGAGAGATCACTACATATATATATTTGATTGCGTGAGAGATCAATTTAATCCAAGTCATGCAATGTGAACTAAACATATTTTATTCTTAATTAGAAGCAAAAACTACGTGGAGTCCAGCACGTATACACATTAATTAGCTGCTAATCATGCATAATGTTGTGGAGTATACTATATTAGAAAGTCTATGTTATTGTGGAGTATACTATATTAGAAAGTCTATGTTAATTAGCTGCTAATCATGCATAATGTTGTGGAGTATACTATATTAGAAAGTCTATGTTATTGTTGTTTAGTGAATAATTAAAACGTAATTAACAAAAATACTTAATTCCATGATGTATGCATTAGCCTTTCATTATTGAAGCATGTACAGATGGGAATTAAATGCCAAAATATAAATTATTAATTAATTAATATATATAAGAGAGATTTTGGGGCGGTGGTTCTGTATTCTGATAAGTGATAATGAAGTAATTACAGAAGAGAAATTCTTGGCGTATGTATTCATTATACGTACAGATCAATATCTGCGAGTATGAGGAAGGCACGTAACTGTATATATGACAGCATATATAAACTAATTAATTAATTAATTAAACTATATTTTATTTCTCTCTACATAATTACTTACGTATGACATTTTAATTTTATTCTTTCCTTTATATCTCAACAATTACGAGAAACTTGTAACAACTTACGATTAGATCTTGAAATTTCTCATCATATTTAATTATATTATTACAACTTATTAAAATTTAAAATTGTTTTATGATGTCGAAGAACGAACATTCGACGACATGTTATAATTAATTCTTTTTTTATTTTATATAAGTCATGTTATAATTAATTTAATATCTTATTATAATGCACTATGTATATATGCTGTCGAATCATCATTGTACATATGATTGTTTTTTTTTTTATCCTGTTCTTGCAAGTTCATGCATGGTTCGCGTGCTTAAGCAGACAACTGATAACTTAAACCGTGATTAAGGAATATATATCCAATCATTGATTTAAAGTCAACTATATTAATTAGTAATTAACCTTAAACATGAGTAATTGTTATTGGTTTGTAGAATTCTATGTCCTGTGGTCATATATATTAAAGGGAAAATTACAAACACCCAAAGGTATGGTCAAATTACGAAAAAACCCTCATCTTAAGATAATTACAAACACTTCTCAACTATAAATCCTCTTACACGTCCACCGTTGGTATCAAATTTAGTGGAATATTCTGGATTATATGGAATACTCTCAATTTCGTACAAGTTTTATCCCATTCGAGCTCCACATTTTAAAGCTAGATGATCATACGATGTGTTTTTTGGCTTGTATATATCAGATTGTGATGCATAAGAAACTGCATTTTTGCACAAAACGAGTACAAACTAGAAAACATTTCACGGAATCTAGAAGATTATGTTGAATTTGACACCATAAGAGTAGAGACGTGTAAGAAAATCATAGCTGATGAGGTATTTGTAATTATCCAAACATGACGAAATTTTTCATAATTTAACTATACATCGGGGTGGTTGTAATTTACCCTAATTATATTGTTCCCAACAAAATTTAGGGCCAATTAGCTAAAATCCCCTCATATGACCACTATACGTTTCTCGGCCCGAAATTAGTTGTAGCAGGCCCGCATCCGTGGTCCAATGGGCCCTAGCTGGACTTAAATACTTCTAAGCATTGGGGCCCACCATAATTTCAATGGGCTGGCCCAAGAAAGACAGCCTAATTTAAATCCATTTACAAGTATAAATAATATAGCAATAATATATTTATTTAATATATATAATTGTACTAGTAAAATTAGATTATAAGATGTGGGTTTAATTTTACAATAGGAGATTCAAATTTGAGTTAGAATTACAATGTTTGAAGGTAAAAGGAAGCTGACCAATATGATCGCCCTTAAAGTGGACAAGAAAAATATAATTCTCTTTATATATAGTTTTATACTTTTTTCTTAGCAATCACATAGCTTTAAATTCCTTCATCCCGAAGGTTGAACACGAAACTTTTGTATTTCTGAATTTTCGCGGTAATTTGTCAAATTTGAGATTCTTTGCTTGACAATTGACATCCACTTTTTAGGGCCAATCGAATCGACCTATTGAAAATATCAAATACTAGTACACAAATTGTAAACTTAAAAATAAATGTTACTATAATCTTTTATGTTACTTGAAAAAATATAACATATGATATTGCATTATTTTTAGGCATTACTTAAAGCATAGAAATGCATTAACTATTAATGGATTCATTTTTATTACAAACTACTATAGTAGATTTGTAGTAGTACATATTTACTATTTAGATTTAGATGCATGTCAGCATGTGATTTAGTTGCATGACACGTCAGCAAAGCGTCAGCCGACAGGTCACGTACGGAACCTACTTCTGTCAAATGAGCCACATCCTTGTCAGCAAATCTTACGAATTTATCCATATGTTTTTTTTTTTGTCAACAATTTCCACCCTAAAAAAAAAATACTATATTGCCAACAAGTAAGTTAGATTTTTCATTTTGATATTTTCAAAGTTGAATTCTTCCATATTAATATTTTTCATGTCAAATTCATCGTGAATGGATTAAATTTTCGAGCGTACGTGGCAGTTGTTTGATTCAATTTTTTATATTCCGCTCGATATAATTCAATATTTTTTTCAAAATATAATGACGAACATGATTTTTGTTTATTAAAAGATTTGAGATTAGAAACTACTATTGAACTCATGATAATATTAAATTTTCAGCTTATTAAAACATTTGAAATTAGAAAGGTCAATAATGGCATAAAATCTAATTTTACTATATCCAGAAATCATTGTCTATAAATACGCGCGCAACGCGGCACTGTTAGTTTATTCCATTATCAATTTTCAAAAATCCAACCACAACAACGTCTCAATTTTCATACTCAGAAGCATAACAAAAGTTTCTTGCAGTGGAGGAAGGAAGAAACGACGCCGTTTTGTAAGAAAACATTACCCCTCTCCTCTTACAATATATTTCTGTTCTTTTGTTTTTTCTGGTGCGGGCAATAATTAGGCCGGTTAATGCTGGCGTGTAATCTACTCATCAGGCATATTAATACTACCATAAAGCAAAATGCAGATGCCGGATAATGTTTTAAATTTTTTTTTTTAAATATATATTTTCGTTTGCTTTTTCGATTAATTTATTGAAAAAAAAATGCTTTCTTTGATGTTGTATCGATGAAGGGCAAATGTTCTTTCTTCAGAAAATTTGAAGATTTTGATCAGTGGTGAAATTAGGGTTCTAATTGTCATTATTTTCTTCATATTTATATTTTCTTTTCATAGATCTGCTCTGAATTTATTTTTTTATTTACTTTTTCTTTTTTTTTGAGGGGTTATGTTTTGTTGTCAATTTTTAGGAGGAATTCCGGGAGCAAAAAATATTGAATTTAATCCAATATAAAATTGTCTGAAGATAAATGGACAGTGGTTCGGAGAATCATATGTTGTCTCATTCATCTGAAGATGATGAATACAGGACTGAGAAATATGGGTATTTTTAATCTCTTTCTTTTTTTTTTTATTGCATTTTGAATCTGCTAATTTGAATTCTTTTAAGGATTAAATAATAATATCAGAGAGTTTGTTTTTATGTAAATTTGCAGCTGCTCGCATTATAGGAGAAGGTGCAAGATTATCGCACCTTGTTGCAACGAGATTTTCGATTGCAGGCACTGCCACAACGATGCAAAGGTCCGTTTTTTTTGTTAATATTTTTCGTATTGTAACATATTTTGACCCTCTTAATCTATAAATAAGCAGAACTCGTTAGACGTTGATCCACTCGAACGACATGACATCCCGCGTCACGAAATAAAAACGGTCTGTCACGTAATTAATCGATGCGTTTAATGAACATTTTTTCGAACTTAAATGGAATGTTTCGTTTTTTTTTTTATATCGAAAATCAACTTATCTTGGCTTTTGTATCTCTATTCAGGTGATCTGCTCGTTGTGTGACACAGAACAAGATGTGAGTTTTCGCATTTAGATTTATAAATCGGAAATGTTTGTTTGTGAATTTCGTAGAATTTTTGATGAATGATTTGCGAGATTTTGTTGTTGTGTAGGTTCAGAAAACGTGTATTAACTGTGGCGTTTGTTTCGGAAAGTACTATTGCTCGAAATGCAAATTCTTTGACGACGACGTAAGATTCCTCGGCTAATATCTCAAACTATTTGTTACTAATTATAGTAATTAAACACCACACAATAATTCTCGTTTCCAGGTTTCGAAGAATCAATATCACTGCGAGAAATGCGGAATATGCAGGTTGATAAAATTCTCTCTATTATTAATTAAGTTTCGTTCGAATACAATCCCACGATTATTTTCATAAATTAATTACTCGTTTTCTCGGTTTTGACAGAACTGGTGGTGCAGAAAACTTTTTCCATTGTGATAGATGTGGTAAGTTAAAATCTATAGAATTTGGAAAACGGCAAATCGATTTTTCTCGGGATAGAATCTGAGCAGTTAAAATTATTCGATTCTTGTTTCAGAATGTTGCTATTCGAATTCATTGAAGGATTCACACATATGCGTAGAGAGAGCTATGCATCACAACTGCGCCATTTGCTTCGAGGTAAAATATAATTTACAACTCAAGATAATACACATTTTTTAATTTTTAAAAATCCCGTTTTTCGCTTCTTAAATCTCCAAATGCATGCAGTATCTTTTCGATACTACAAGAGGCATTACCGTGCTGCCATGTGGACACACTATTCATCTCGAATGTGTTAAGGAGATGGAACACCATTTCCAGTAATACTATTTCCCCATTTGTATTTTCATTTTCATTATCTTTTTTTTTTCCCGATAATTTATAATTTGACCCGAATTTCGGCTTGTAGATATGCTTGCCCTGTTTGCTCGAAATCATATTGCGATATGACCCCTATCTGGGAAAGGCTCGATCAGGAGGTATACATATACAAAGACTTACGTCTTACGTTACGTATATTGTACTAAAAAAATTCATCACATACTTTACGACGATAATTTATTTTGTTTACAAAATTCCAGGTTGCTTCAACGCCTATGCCTCCAATGTACCAAAATAAAATGGTAAGTCGAGAATCGAACTTTAAATTAAACTTTTTTGCTTGCGTAAAATGCTTAATTTTAATTGTATTATTGTTAGGTGTGGATACTGTGCAACGACTGTGGAGAAACACGCGAGGTGAACTATCATATAGTTGCGCACAAATGCTTGAGTTGCAATTCGTACAATACGAGGCAGACTAGGGGTGGTCAAGCTACGTGTTCGTCCACCAATGTGTCGGAGATCGTTAGATGAGATCTTAATTTATTTTAAGGCTAATTAAATTTGATTTAATTCAGTTAAGTAGTATTATAATTTATTTATTTTCGTGTTCCATGTATTCTTCATTTAATTCTCTTGTATCAAGCTAAGTATGAATTATTTACTCTTTTTTCATTATGACTTACGAGTGAGGTTTACGAAATTATTTATTCATCATCGATTATTCGCATTGCCCGGGCGGTAAAGGTATACATCTCGTCTGTTTTTCGGTTGCAGTGGCCTCGCATTTTCCTCTGCATACTGTCGAAAAATAATAACAATAATCGTGAGTAGAAAAACGCAAGATTAAGTTTGTCGAGAAAACAATTAATTAATTCGTGATCGACTGACTTACATCATGAACAGCTTCTCTGAGTAACTTAATTTGGTCCCTTGAAACAGTCTTCACCTAAAAAAGAATATTCCAAAAAAAATGCATTAATCATCAATATTAATATACATGAAATTGGGTATATGATTAATTTAATTAATTAGGGGGCTAATAAGGGATTAATTACCTTTTTATTAATGGTCCAAATAACTCCTTGAGTACAAGGAGGAACAGTGAGTGATCCCATGTATCTGTAGAACATTTTGCTTCGTAATTTAATTTTGTCGGGATCAATCTTCCCGACCGTTATTTCTTCATCCTTCTTATCAATCATCGAAGATATGTTCTTCATTAACTGTAGATAATCGAGTTCATTACACAACATATACATACATATATATGTATGTAGATACTGTCTAAATGACGTACCTTGGAGAGGAATTTATCGGGTTTGCCAATCTCGTAGAGTATTCCAGTAACAGTGATCCTGTTTTTCACATTCGGGTCCGTGTTTAGGTGTACCAAGTGTAACTCCATGTCATACCTGTGTTTTCGTGTTTATGTATATATATATATATATAAAAGCAATTATAGATATAATGGCAACATACCTTCTACCGTTGATAGTGTGCTCGGAAGGAGAGTGCCAATGGGCTTGCCTGAGGGGGTACTCTGTATTGTTAATAAAAATCGATCCAGCATCGCCAAACCATTCAATCTGCATCGTCAAAATTCACTATTTTCTTCGGTAAATTTAAGAATTATTATTATTATTTTTTATATAGAGTTAAAAGTTGTTATATTTATGAGCAATTTTAAATAATTCTTACTTGGATATCATGACCTCTATTCTTGATAGTTGCATTGGTAAGTCTGTAATTCCTCTTTTCGGGCCTCGAGAAAATGACAACCCTCTCGTTCGACATGTCTATTGGAGACTGGAAACTGCCATTGTTGCAAGCACCCCATTCCTTCTTGATTTCTCCCCATTTTCTTGGACCCTTTTCGCCTTTCTTCGAGTAGTCAAACTCTCTTTCATCCTCTGATCATTAAAATATACACGCAATATTTAAAAAAAAAAAAAAAAGGAAAAAACGAAAGAAATTATATAGCATTACTCACCTACTTCTTGAGCATTAATCGATTTTGCTCCGAATAACAAAACAATGAACATGAGAAGTGGAGCATGGGTGTTCATCGTTGTAATTTTTTCTTACTGTTCTTTGGTGAGTTGTTGATTCATGTATGAATAGAGCTCAGCCAAAAAAGCATATTGAATTATTGCAATTAATTCAAAATGTATGGTTTTAATTATTTTGTGACTATAAAGAACTTTTTATATACAAAAAGTTGTTCAATAATGTCTTAAACAAGGCCCGGCAGACCTTTGTGTACATCAGCAATCAGCTCACTCCAAACCTTTCTTTTTCCTCCATCTCTTTGTCATTACATATAAGAATAGCATCAATAATTGAATTAAGATTCGATTAGAAGCTTTAATTAATTGTAAATGCAACTCTTAACTTGTTGATAAAAAAAAATCGGACTGTAAGCATCAAATAAACCGAACAGATAATTGAGATACTACACTCAGTAAAAAATATTTCGGTAATTTTTTAATCATTGACGTGGTGAAATAAATCGTACCGAACTAATGAACGGCAAATTTAATGTGAGTGGGTGGGGGCATCCATTTTCAACGCAAAGGTACGGTGGCTGATTTCTATTTGAGGAAAGGGATTAATCAGTTTTGTTGCCCCGCATTCAGAAATATCTTAACAGCAAAATGGGAAATTAATAAATAAAATAAAATGGTAATAATGGAGCACTAATTAGTAATTAGCAAAATGCATATAATTATAATTAATTTTTCTTAGGTGGAAACTGAAAATGAAAGTCCACATTGATTAAATTATTATTTAATTTCTACGATCCACTATATATATATATATATGTGTATACATGAATTTTTACATAATTAGTTGGAAAAAAATAAAAAGAAATTATGAGCAGCAGGATATTTACAGCAGTGGCACTACTTCTACTACTAGGGCTTTTGGTGGATGGAGAAGGAGCCTTAAATAGGAAATTAATGGTGGAGAAGGCCGGGAACGAGGTCCACCAGGTGGCGGCGGAAAGAGAGAGCTCCACCGCTTCCGGCGACCTGGATACTAATAATCACCATAATATACCGAGGGAATATTGGAATACCGGCGGCCAAAACCAAAATGCGCCGGCGGCGGACGGCGGCTCCGCGGATAACCATTCATAACGGTACCAGTTTATATTTGTTTTTACTTTTGGGCTTTGGGCCATCAGATCAAACTCTGTGGTCTGTGTAATTATGGCAGGCCCATTGTTTGTTTACTGGAACATATTGTATATATATTATATTGTGATAACATAATCTTGTCTTACAAAATTAAAATAAATAAATAATTAAGTTTAGAATATTCCTGGGTGTAATTGATGAATTACAATATTATAATCTATAAGAACCTATGTTTTATTCAGCAGTGTCCAAAAATGGCCTTAGACTAAATACAGCCCACCCGCCAACCCCAAGTTTCAGTGGCGGAGCCTGCACAGGCCCAGAGGGGGGCCATGGCCCCTCAATAATTTCGAATCTCTATTTTTAATATTTTTTTTTTACTGTATTCTGCATTTGGCCCCTCCCAAAATTAAAATCGTGTGCTAAATTCAGGCTCCCACTCTCCACTCGATAACGTTGAAAAACGTAAGCGGAAAAGCAAAATACAAAAAGCATGCAAGGCCAAGTGAAAGTGCATGCAATGCAAATTCAAAGATTCCTCACGACTTTTATAAAGTTATACCGATTATGATTTTATGAAGCTGATGAAATTTCATATATCTGAGAAATCAAATTAAATACAAAAGTAAATATTCATGGAAATCGAAATACGTTTTAATTCCAACTTATAAAAGTAGATGTGCGAGATTCACTCACTCTCACTCGAAATTAATGAAAGTCGAATCTCACGCGTGTGGGCAATTTTATTTAATAATTTAAATGTTTTTATGGTGGGCCCAAATGCAGTTAAAGTAGGTATTAGAAATAAAGTTGTGGTACTTGTACAGTTGTACTTTATTACCAGATGAAATCATATGTTTTTTCTTTTGAGAAATTTTTAGTTAGTGGAGTATATTTTGAGTTAAATTGATTTTAATTTGTAATGATTTGGAAGACATCTATCTATTAAAACTCTTAATTATTGTATGTTGGCTTGATTAATGGCCTGCTTTCTTTTTGACAAAAAAATGAAACTTTATAGCCGTTGTATAGTTGTATCAAATATATACAGAAACTGAAAATGCAACATACAAAAGGAAACAAGAGAGAGAGAGAGAGAGAGAGAGAGAGAGAGAGAGAGCTTTTTCTGCCACATCCGCCGCAGTTCCCGACACAGACCAGTCAATAAAATTTCTTCTTCTCTCTCTCTCTCTCTGATACGGGCCATTCTGGAAAGATCCAATACGAATTAGGCCCACGACAAAAGGCCCATGGCAATTCAGCCCAATGATATAAAAAGACCATTAGGTCGTACGACCTCAACGACGAACTGCGGAACTTCGGCTCGCAGGCCCAGTATCGGCTCGTGGTAAATCGAGCCCAGGGTTGTAAAAGGCCCAATACACACAATGGCTTGAGGGGGGAAAAACCCTAAAAAGGAAACCTTGGAGGCCAAGGTTTCCTCATTTATAAATAGGGAATGATATTGCGTTTTTCCAGACAGATAATATACATTTTTTTTCACATACTTTTACGTACTTTCTAAAAACTCGCTTTGAAATCATACTGACTTGATCGTCGGAGCTTTCCCGCCGGGAACACCTCCCGGCGTTGCAGGTCTTTTTTCTACCGGAATCCGACAGAGAGCTTAGAGGACGCGAGGAAGAGCCCCACGGACCAAATCAAGTGGCGCCGTCTGTGGGAAAGGCCTAAAAATCAGGAGAAAACAGCTTCCGGGAAAAATCAGATCTACCCCCGGAAGTCCAGATCTGAGCTGAGAACGTGGAGAAAGAATGGACGGAGAAGACGCAGTCGCCCGGAATTTGCAGAAGGATTTGGATGCGGTAGCCCGTGGTGCACCGGTTGACCCATCGTCCGTTCAGAAAGATAAATCGGGGTGTAGCTTCCTTACACCTGAAAAGGAGGGCCGGATCCCCTTCGCTCCAAGCAGCCCCTCTTTCGAGTTCCAGGATGGCGAAGCTGCTTCGAGAAGGCCAGCCACAGCCCCCGCTCAGGCTCCCAATGAGCGCACGTATACCCGAGACGAGGTGGAAACCATGATCACCGCGGCCATCAGAAACTACACCCAAAGTTTACCTCACGATAACCGACTCAGGAGGGATCCCAGACATTCCCCGAACGAGGGACGAGCTGATGACGAAGGCGACAGTTATTCGGAAAATCGAAGAGGCGATAGTCATAGAGTCAGGACCGAGGTAGACAGCCTGAGACGCGATATGAATGAATTAAAGGCCTTACGGAACAGGCCAGCGCGAGATCTCGTGGGATCTAGCCCTTTCGCAAAACACCTTGATGATGACCCCATACCAGCTAGCTACCGACCCATTTCGTTCGAGTACAATGGCACATCGGATCCCGCCGAGCACCTAAGCCGTTTCAACAATACAGCATCGCTTCATCAGCTCACAGAAGGGGTGAGATGTCGTGCCTTCGCTACCACTCTAGCCGGATCTGCTCAGGCCTGGTTCGGTTTGCTGCCTTCCGGGAGCGTACAATCTTTCGAGCAATTTGCCAAGGCTTTCATGAACCAGTTCGCCAGCTCAAAGAAGTGCAAAAAAACCTCCCTGTCACTATTTAGCATTCGCCAAAAGGAGAAAGAAAGCCTCAGGAGTTACATCAAACGGTTCACCTCGGCCACCCTGGAAGTCCCGACCACCAGTGATGAGGTACTCATGGCAGCTCTTTCTCAAGGACTGAGAGATGATGAGTTTTTCCGAGCTTTGGCGCTGGAGCCGTCCCCTGATTTCGATAACCTATTAGAAAGGGCATCTAGGTTCATCAATTTAGAAGAGGCCCGCCAACAGAAAATGGAAGAATCTCACCAAGTCGCAAATGCACGAGTCAGCGAAGTAAAGAAAGGCAGGGAGCTCATGTTACCTCGCAGGGATGCCAATGCCCCTAGTCGGAGTATTGTCCCGGATGCTAAGGGATCTCGTTTTCAATCATATCAGCCCCTTACGGCTCCTCTGTCCCAGGTGTTGTGCGCGATTGAGAAGAGGGCTGATCTACGATGGCCTCGAACTGCTCGCGGAGCCCCCCGTCGAGATCCAACGTTGGGTACTTTTTGCCGTTTTCATAATGAATATGGACATACGACCGACGATTGCGCACATCTGAAGGACGAAGTGGAACGTCTCATTAGAGATAACAAAATCGGGGATTTCGTGAAGATAGATTCACCTCGGGGACAAAAGCGTGAAGCCCAGTTTGGGAACCCGCCACGAGCGCCGCCACCACCACCAGCACCGAAAAGAGGGTACATTCAGATGATTTCGGGGGGTCCTACGGGAGGAGATACTCACCGGGCTAGGAGACGCCACCTCGGTAGCCTCAAAAATAATCATGAGGTTTGCCAAATCTCGACACCGAAGTATCGTCAATATCCCACTATCTCGTTTGGTCCGGAAGATGAAGCGGACCTAGAGGATTTCCATTGTGACCCTCTCCTCATCACGATTAACGTTGGGGGGTACGATGTCGCTCGCGCCTTCGTTGATCCAGGAAGTTCGGTGGATGTTATATCCTACGAATGTTTCCTGCAAATGGAGCTTGACCTCCCAATCTTCCCTGTCACTACTCCGATATTCGGGTTCACGGGAGGATCCCTGACGCCGGTTGGACAAGTTAAAATCCCCGTCACTATAGGGACGCCACCTCGAGTACGCACTCAAACCGTCAATTTCGTCATTGTCGAAGGATCGCCAACCTCGTATAATATCGTGATAGGGCGACCGATGTTACATACCTTTCGGGCGGTCCCTTCAACCATTCATCAAAAGCTTAAGTTTCCAGTTGATGGAACGGTGGGAGAGGTCAGGGGCGACCAAGCCCAATCGAGATCGTGTTATGTCGAAATGGTTAAAGTAGCAGAGAAAGGCCGACGTGATACCCTCACCAAAGAAGATTTGGGAGACGAGAAACGCCCTCGAATTGACCCTGAGGATAAGGTTAACCATGTAC